TACTTTCTGGTGGTCGTTGACGACTTCTCCCGCTACACCACAGTGTTCCCTCTGGCGAAGAAGTCTGAGGTGACTTCTACGCTGATCAGGTGGTTGCTCACCACTGAGGACACTCGTGGTCGTCGTGTCAGCTGTCTTCACTCCGACCGTGGGGGTGAGTTTCGCTCCGGCATTCTCGCTGGATTCTGTCGCGAGCAGGGCATTCGTCAGTCCTGGACGCTTCCAGAGTCCCCACAGCAGAATGGGGTTGCTGAGCGCCGCATAGGCCTGGTCATGGAGATCGCCCGCACCTCCCTGACTCACGCCTGTGCCCCCCATTTTCTGTGGCCCTACGCGGTCAGGTACGCCGCGCACCAGCTGAACCTCTGACCACGTGTCTCTCGACCAGAGGTTTCACCGACCAGTCTTTGGACAGGGTCCCCTGGTGTTGCGTCGCGGTTTCGTGTCTGGGGGTGCTTGGCTCTTGTCCGCGACACCTCCGCGGACAAGCTCTCGCCTCGTGCCGTCCCCTGTGTCTTTCTTGGTTTCCCTGAGGACTCCTCTGACTTCACCTTTTACCACCCTCCCTCTCACCGGTTCTTTGACTCCCGTGACGTTCGTTTCGAGGAGTCCACTCCGTACTACGTCAGGTACCCCGGTCGAGGTCTCCCGGTTCCTCCTCCCCCCCTCTTCCTGACTGCCGTTCCCCCTCCTGCTCCCCCGGTACAGCCTCCCCCCCCTGGTCCAGCCCCGTCAGGTGTGTCCCAGGCTACCCCTCCTCCTTCGGTAGCCCCTCCGGTACAGCCTCCCTCCCCACAGTCCTCCTCGCAGCGTGCCGCTGGTGCTAGCTCTCGAGAGGTTGGTGCGACGCCTGTTCCTGTACCGGTTTCTGGTTCTGGGGGTGCTGGAGTTAGAGCTGGAGTTGGAGCTGGAGTTGGAGCTGGAGTTGGCACAGGAGTTTCTGGTTCTGGGGGTGCTGGAGTTGGAGCTGGGGTTGGAGCTGGAGTTTCTGGTTCTGGAGTTGGAGCTGACCAGGTGGGTGCAGAGGACTCTTGTCGTCCGGGAGCTGGTGCTGGCCGCGCGGACACTGGGGGTGCTACGTCTGGGGGTGAGGGTGCGCCTCCTTCGGGTTCAGGTGAGCCTGGGTCTGGAGCTGGTGTTAGTGCTGCCTCTGGGGGTGGTGAGCCTAGTTCTTCTGGAGTGGACTCTGGAGCTGCCGCTGCTTCGGACACTACTCCGCCCCCCCACCCCTACCCGACTAGGCACCAGGCTCGTGTTCGCCGTGCCCGTGACGAGCAGCTGGCGTTGGAGAGAGAGGAGAGGGAGTTACAGCGGCTGGAGGAGCAGCAGCAGCAGCTGGAGCCGCAGGAGCAGCAGCAGCAGCAGCAGCAGCAGCAGCTGGACCCGCAGGAGCAGCAGTCCCAGCAGCAGCCGCGTCCGCAGCAGCAGCAGTCGCAGCCGCAGCAGCAGCAGCCACTTCCTCCTCCTGTCTCGGGTCTTCGGATCCTTGGTCTCCCCTCCCCTTCTCCTCCCTCCTCCGCCTCTCCTCCTGTCTGCGGTCCCACGTTTCCTCCTCCTGACTCCTCCCCCGCTGTTTTCCCCAGTTCTCCGCCCTTGTCCTCTTCTCCTCCGTCTCGTTCTTGGGCTACTCGTCGCTCCCCTCGTGCTCGTCCCTCGTCTCCTGTTCCCTTCACTGACCTTCGTACTGCCTTCCTTCTTTCTAGTCCACCTCGTCCGTCTCAGTCTGTGCTTCCGTCTCCTCCTGAGTCGGCCCTCACTGTGTCGCTCCCTACTCCTGTCACTGACTACTACCGCACGTACCGTCCTGTTCTCTCTCGTGTTCTCGCCTCTCTTGTTACTCACCCTCGTGCCTCTGTGTCCTCTGTGTCCGCTCTTACTGCCGCAGTTACTGACTTTGCCTCTACCCGCCGCCTTGACTACGCCACCACGCTGGTGGCTGCTCCTCCTACCAGTCCTCTGGCCGTCGGGGGTGTGTCTGCCCTTGGCTGTGACGCCCTAGAGGACAGGCAGTTTGAGCTAGAGTTCCTGGCGGCCGCTTCCCCTCATCTCTGTGCCATGCTCCTCGCCCCTGAGGGTGACCCCGACGCCCTTGACATTCCGACTCCTCGCACTTACGCTGAGGCAGTGTCAGGGCCTTGGGCCTCTCAGTGGAGAGCTGCCATGGACGCAGAGATGGCCTCATACAGATCCACACGCACCTACGTCGATGAGGTTCCCCCCCCTGGGGCGAACGTAGTCGACGGCATGTGGATCTACAGGGTGAAGCGGCCACCGGGATCTCCCCCGGTCTTCAAGGCGCGCTACGTGGCTAGAGGTTTCAGTCAGCGTGAGGGAGTTGACTTCTTTCAGACCTTCGCACCTACCCCGAAGATGACCACTCTTCGGGTGTTACTACACGTAGCAGCACAGAGAGACTACGAGTTACACTCTCTCGACTTCTCCACTGCTTTCCTTCAGGGCAGCCTACACGAGGAGGTCTGGTTGCGTCGTCCCTCGGCCTTCACTGGCACCTTCCCTCCTGGGACCCAGTGGAGGCTGAGGCGACCTGTTTACGGTCTTCGCCAGGCTCCTCGTGAGTGGCACGACACTCTGCGTTCTACCCTCTCTGACCTTGGGTTCCAGCCGTCTTCTGCCGGCCCGTCGCTGTTCGTTCGTCGTGGCTCCACACCGTTCTTTGTTCTGGTTTACGTCGACGACCTCGTTTTCGCCACTCCGGACAGGGTTGCTTTGGCAGACGTGAAGTCCGAACTGCAGAAGAGACACACGTGCACTGATCTTGGTGAGCTGCGCCACTACCTTGGCCTGCAGATCACCAGGGACAGAGCCGCTCGCACCATTACACTCTCACAGTCACACATGGTGCAGCAGGTCCTTCAGCGGTTCGGGCTTCAGCACTCCACCGTACAGCGCACACCTCTAGCTGTTGACCACAGACTCACTGGTCCCTTTCCTGACGAGCCGTTTGAGCCTAGTGGTCCCTACGCAGAGCTTGTGGGTTGCCTCATGTACCTGATGACTTGTACTCGCCCGGACCTCGCCTTCCCTCTCAGCATCCTTGCGCGTTTTGTTGCGCCAGGGAGACACCGTCCTGTTCACTGGACGGCAGCTGTGAGGGTGGCGAAGTACCTAGCGACTACATCAGGCGTGGGGCTAGTTCTTGGAGGGCAGCAGTCTGTCGTACTCACTGGTCACTGTGACTCCTCTTACGCTGACGACGCTGAGACTCACAGGTCTACTCAGGGGTACTGTTTCAGTTTGGGTTATGGAGCTGTTTCCTGGCGTTCCACGCGCTCCTTTTCTGTCTCGACCTCTACAGCTGAGGCTGAGATTTACGCTGGTGCCATGGCGGCACAGGAGTTGCGGTGGTTGACCTTCTTGCTCGCCGACCTTGGTGAGCGGCCGAGCTCTGCACCGACCTTGTTTACTGACAACAAGGCGTCGATCCTCCTCTGTCGTGAGCCGCGACTGGAGAGCAGAGTGAAGCACATTCACGTCAGGTACTTTCTTCTGCGAGAGTTGCAGAGGCGTGGACAGGCTCGCTTCGAGTTTGTAGAGTCCGAGGCCAACACTGCAGACATCTTCACCAAGGCGCTTCCGCCTTGTGACCACCAGAGGTGTTGTGTGCAGTTAGGCCTTGTTGACACAGGTTCTAGTCAGGGCTTAGGTTTGGATTTTGCCTACTCACGATTAGCAGTGTAGACATTTTGAATACCCTTCTGAGCAGTGTGCCTTTTTTGGAAACACTGATGGATCAGTGTAACTTGAAGTTTTGAAAACTTTACCCAGAGGCATCAGTGTAGGTATATTTTTTACCCTGATTGTACTTTAGGCTGCTCAATATGTGCTGGCTGCAATCAAGCTCGAGGCCCAAATCGCGCACGATTACTATCGTAAGTTGGGCGCTGGTGGGTGGGAGTTGTGATGTGAACTCAAAAGTCGAGCGCAGTGGCTTGTCTGGTTTCGCTGCAACACTTGTATTTTTCGCCAAGTCAGCAAATTTCGAGTGTGTTCGGAAACCTCGAGTCCCAAATTTCCGAGTCAAGAAAGTTGACGTTCTTGCAGAGAGTGCAGCTTCGACCAATCAGGTTGCATCGCCTCTACAGTAACGGGTAGGTTGCAAGCAGACACGGAGTGACACGGTGTCGGTTGTCAGTACTTACGTGTGCTGGCGTCGTAGTGCATCATTACGAAATTGGGTGTATCGCTACGAAAGCTCTAGGAAACCTCTTCTCAATAAGTAGAGTTTCCGAGGGGGGGGGGGGGGGGGGGGGAGTCCCTGTACGCTCTTCAGGGTAATCTTCGCTAAGGGAAAAATTACCCCAGAGCATCAGTGTGGCCTAAATCATTACACTTACAGATCAGTGTAACACTAACTCACCAAAAAATTACCCCAGCACATCAGTGTAGACCCAAAAATTCACCCTTGTAATCAGTATAGAAGGGTAAATTACACTGCAAACCTGAGCCCTGGTTCTAGTCATGCGTAGACTTGAGTTTATTGCCTGCTTCGTTTGTACTTTTACTATATATACTTGTGATCTCTTGGACTGGCCTTGTGGCCACTGTTGCTTGTGCTCAGAGTGTGTGGTGACGTTGTGATCCACCCTGGGCTTTGTTTTCTTTTGGACTGGTCTTGTGACCGTACTCTTTTTTGTTTTTTGCTAGACACCCCTCACTTAGGCTATGGGGGTGTGTCAAATTTTGTAGCCTGTAGTGAGGTTTGTCTTAGGGGGTACAGAAGTTAGGGTTTGTCATATGTACCCCAACCAACATCAATGGAACATTCATTCCTCATTCTGACATTCCGTACCCCACCCTAATTTTTTACAAATTATCTGCTCTACAGTCAGCAATCCATGTGAAGCATTCCAAGTTGGGCGAATAAAACTACTTGAAGATGCGGTGCGGTGTTGTTTCATGCCATGACGAGCGGTTGGATAGATACAAGTGAGTGTTTTCCTGGCTGTTTTGACCATTTTTTTTTTAGAGATCTCCTACCTTTACTCTGCCTTCTCCAGTTCTGCCATCCTTTCAATAATAACCTGCAGCATCAGTGCGCAAAGCAAAATAACACATATTGGAATAGGGAAGAGCTGTTTGGAAGTGAAAGCAGACAGCAACAGTACGAAACTAGTGAAAAGTCAAAAGAACTCCAAACATGACGCAACATGGCACACCTTTTTGCTTGTTTCTTGAAGCTCGCCCGCAAGCACAAACTCATCGAGGATAAGGTAAACCTACATGCAAGCCACAAACGCCACCCACGAGAAGAAATATGGTTGTTAGAAATAGCAGCAGAGCAATGAGATGACAGGAAATACAGACAGAGCTTTCCGGCCTCAATCCGAAAGAATCCTACCTTGTGGAAATTAAAGACGAGGTCAAGCTCGCAGACGTTGCTGAAGAAGTGATCTAGGATCTCCACAAAGAGATGGATGCTCTCGAGGTAAGCCAGCTCGTTGTCCGTGAGGTCAACGCAGAGGGAGAAGAAGAGGCCTGCATAGCGCCGGTAGATCACCTTGTACGTGCGGAACTGAGGAGACTCGCAGGGAATGTATAAGATTTTTTGGGAGATGGAGTGGAATGGCATCAATGGGAGGGGCGAAACATGCGCCTCTGCTGATTCACGCGGTACAGGTTCACAACGGAAACAAAAGAGCATACATGCCAGCAGAGCAGCAGCAAGCATACCTCGACAAAGTTTGTGAATTTGGGTTCGCGATGAACCACCAGCCGGTGAACCTGACGCAGGGAAGACGCGCAGGTACGGTGGGAATAACAGGAGCAGGGAAGGAGGAGGGAGCTAAAGGTGACACATGCAAAAACAAGGGTGAAGGGTCACACTGCAATGCTGCTCTCGCCCTACTGTTCGGGTTGGGACACTGGAATCTCAACACGTCCAGCCGGCACTAGCCGTATCGCATCTACTGAGCTACTTGGTACTAAAAAAAAAAAGGCGTACCTCGAATTCGAGCTTGTGCTTCTCCGAGTCCTCTAGTGGAACATAATACTTCGCCAGGCGCGTCTTTCCCTGCCGATTCTGGAGGAGAATGAACCGGATCTGCGCGGAACCAGCAACAAGAATATGAATGGCGTCTGGTGATGATTACAATTCAGGGCGAAGCGGCGAAGGGCCATGCGGCGACCAGTCCATACCATAGCAGCAGAGGCGCCACGACGACTACTATCAAATCAACGAGTGCTCAAAATGATAACGCGACAGCAGAGCGGCACCTCGCAACGAGACACTTCCTGTCACTAATGTGCTGTACACGAGTCAACTAAGCGGAAACGCGACTCCCTCAGACGGATCAGCTGACTTCAAACCTTAGAACGACGATATTTCAAGATTTGTCTGAGTGGGACAGCATCCACAATATAAGCATAACCTGCTAAACTTGTTCTAACATATCTACACAGAAAACCTGTACGTTATCTTCACACCACACCCACAACATATGATTTACTACACTAAGGGCCATACTTTGCAAACCAGCAACAAACCGAGAATCACATCCCTAACTAGCCCTCCTAGGTTGAGCCTTATACTAAAGCTAGATATATGTTACACTTTCAACACGATTCCACTAGCAACGCCTGATGGACAGATACGCATCTACATATGCATCAGAGCTACGGGCATCCCAGCTGGTATCCACTGACATTGCTGTCTTGGTGATTGCTTCCCACCGATGCGGATCCGCCTTCTGCACAGCATGAGGAGAGATGTGACAAGTAGGCACAAGTTCACAAATGAGCACAGGCGGTTAGTTGATCTGCTAACAAGTATGCAACTATGATGCATAATCAAGGCACAGCTGCAAGTGAAAGAATAATGGCACTTGCCGCGTGGCAGCAGCACTCACAAGGAGCTTGAGAGCGCGAGTGAGAGCGATGACAGCGTCAGCCGGCTTGTCGGAGGCATAGAAGAAACCCGCTCCCTCCGAGGCACCGCGGCGCGGGTCATCCACGTCCACTAGGCTGGTGTGGGTGGGGGAGGAGGGAGACTTGTTGATTCGTTGTGCACTGGTTACGACAAGCTGGCCGAGCAGGGCAGTGAGAAGGAGAAGGAAGGCAGTAAAAGAAACCCGCTCCCTCCAAAGCGCCACGGCGAGCGTCACCCACGTCCACTTAGCTGGTGGGGGGGGGAGTGGGAGAGAGATATACGAGATGCCGAATTGACGTGCACTGGTCAGAGAGAAAAGAGTCTACTAAGAGATTCAGGCAGTGAGAGGGGGAAGAGAGGCGAGGGACAAGGCAAGGCAGCATGCAACGATGCATAGAGATTGGAACCATTGTTGTGTCGACAAGCTTATCAGATAATCCCACAAATCAGCCGCCAGTGTCAGTTGAACAATCCAATGTGCCCTGCCAGCTGTACGGTGCATGCCCATGTGACTGACCTGTCAGGTGATCCCATTAGCTGACGGGCCACAGGCACAGCGCCATAGCGCGCCCCTACCAGCTGCGGTGCAGAACAGGGGTATGGGGAGGAACGGAGGGCGAGTGGGATGGGGGGGATGGAGAGCGCAGTGCAGAACAGAGGTGGGGAGGAATGGAGGGAAAGGGGGATAAGGGGAATGGAGATCGCAACAAGTATGGCGGGCCACAGGCACGGCCCCGTAGCAAGCGCCTACCAGCTGCGGTGCAGAACACGGGTTTGGGGAGGGACGGAGGGTGAGTGAGATGGGGAGAATGGAGAATGCAACAAGCATGGCACACGGCAGGCGAATCGCACCACCACCATGCCACCAAAGCAGGTTATCTGAGATAACATAGCATTGGGGGTTGCAGGGGCGCATGCTGAGGGTGGTGAGGAAGGCAGCTTGCTTCAATTTCCCTCCTCCGCTTACCCCACTCCCCCCTCTCCACCCAAGCAGGTTATCCGAGATGATCTAGCAGTGAAGGTGGTGGGGGAAGGCGGCTCTCTTCAAGCCAGTCACCTTTCCTCCTCTCCTGCCCTTCTCCTTCTAAAAAGATTATCCGAGATGATCCGGCTGGGGGTCGCAGGGGCGCATGCTGTTACGTTGCTAGGGTGTTACGCTGTTACGCTGTTAGGCTGTTATGCTGTTAGGCTGTTAGGCTGTTACGCTGTTAGGCTGCTAGGCTATTAGGCTGTTACTTTGTTAGGCTGTTACGCTGTTAGACTGTTACGCTGTTAGGCTGTTACACTGTTAGGCTGTTGCGCTGTAAGGCAGTAAGGCTGTTACGCTGTTAGGCTGTTATGCTGTTAGGCTGTTACGCTGTTAGGCTTTTAGGCTGTATGCTGTTAAGCTATTAGGCTGTTAGGCTGTTAAGCTGTTACCCTGTTAGGCTGTTACGCTGTTAGGCTGTCAGGCTGTTACGCTGTTAGGCTATTAGGCTGTTAGGCTATTAGGCTGTTACGTTGTTAGGCTGTTACACTGTTACGCTATTAGGATGTTATGCTGTTAGGCTGTTACGTTGTTACGCTGTTTCGCTGTTTCGCTGTTAGGCTGTTACGTTGTTACGCTGTTTCGCTGTTACGCTGTTAGACTGTTACACTGTTAGGCTGTTACGCTGCTACACTGCTAGGCTGTTAGGCTGTTAGGCTGTTAGGCTGTTAGGCTGTTAGGCTGTTATGCTGTTACGCTGTTACGCTGTTAAGCTGCTAGGTTGTTAGGCTGTTAGGTTGTTAGGCTGTTAGGCAGTTACGCAGTTAGGCTATTACGCTATTACGCTACTACGCTGTTACGCTGTTACGCTGTTAGGCTGTTAGGCTGTTATGCTGTTACGCTGTCAGGCTGTTACGCTGTTAGGCTATTAGGCTGTTACACTGTTACGCTGTTAGGATGTTACGCTGTTAGGCTGTTACGCTGTTAGGCTGTTACGCTGTTAGGCTGTTACGTTGTTATGCTGTTTCGCTGTTAGGCTGTTATGCTGCTAGGCTGTTAGGCTATTACGCAGTTACGCTGTTAGGCTGTTACCCTGTTAGGCTGTTACGCTGCTAGGCTGTTCGGCTGTTAGGCTGTTAGGCTGATAGGCTGTTGGGTTGTTAGGCTGTTAGGCTGTTAGGCTGTTAGGCTGTTACGCTGTTAGGCTGTTACGCTGTTATGCTGTTAGGCTGTTAGGTTGTTAGGCTATTAGGCAGTTACGCAGTTAGGCTATTACGCTATTACGCTACAACGTTGTTACGCTGTTACGCTGTTAGGCTGTTACGCTGTTAGGCTGTTACGCTGTTATGCTGTTACGCTGTTAGGCTGTTACACTGGTACAATGTTAGGCTGCTAGGCTGTTAGGCTGTTATGCTGTTAGGTTGTAAGGCTGTTAAGCTGTTACGCTGTTACGCTGTTTGGCTGTTAGGCTGTTACGCTGTTAGGTTGTTAGGCTGTTACGCTGTTAGGCTGTTAAGCTGTTAGGCTGTAAGGCTGTTAGGCTGTTAGGCTGTAAGGCTGTAAGACTGTTAGGCTGTTATGCTGTTAGGCTGTTACGCTGTTAGGCTGTTACTCTATGACGCTGTTAGGCTGTTTCGCTGTTAGGCTGTGGCTGTTACGTTGTTACGCTGTAACGCTGTTAGGCTGTTAATCTGTTACGCTGTTACGCTGTTAGGCTGTTAGGCTGTTAGGTTGTTAGGCAGTTAGGCAGTTAGGCTATTACGGTATTACGCTGTTACGCTGTTACCCTATTAGGCTGTTAGGCTGTTATGCTGTTACGCTGTTACACTGTTAGGCTGTTACGATGTTAGGCTGTTAAGCTATTAGGCTGTTACTCTGTTAGGTTGTAAGGCTATTTGGCTGTTACGGTGTTACGGTGTTAGGCTGTTAGGCTGTTATGTTGTTACGCTGTTACAATGTTAGGCTGTTAGGCTGTTTCGCTGCTATTGTTAGGCTGTTACGCTGTTAGGCTGTTAGGCTGTTACGCTGTTACATTGTTACGCTGTTAGGCTGTTACGCTGTTAGGCTGTAAGGCTGTTAGGCTGTAAGGCTGTTAGGCTGTAAGGCTGTTAGGCTGTTAGGCTGTAAGGCTGTTAGGCTGTAAGGCTGTTAGGCTGTAAGGCTTTTAGGCTGTTAGGCTGTTAGGCTGTAAGGCTGTTAGGCTATAAGGCTGTTACACTGTTACACTGTAAGGCTGTTAGGCTGTTAGGCTGTTAAGCTGTTAGAGAAAGCATCCTTGCAGCAATCCAAGCTCGCACTGAAAGGTACACGTGAGGGCACTGAAAGGCATCCGGGAGGGCACTGACCGGCAAGTGTGAGGAGGGGTCGCGGAGGGGCGGGCAGAGTAGCACGTGTGCCGCCGCCACCACCAGATGTGCCAAATCATCCTCGTACACGATCTCCAGGTGTGCATTGCGGTCCTGATGGGTGGTTGGTGGGGGGAGATAGAGAGAGATTTGAGTCGACTCAGGTCACCCAGAAGTGCGAGGGGGTCCTCTCCTTGCACACAATCTACAGGCGTGAATCACGGTCCCGCTGGTTGGCAGGCAGCGAGGGGGAGAGAGAGACGGCACGGACTGACACACCTGCTTGACGCATGGTCTACCCTGCTCAATGCTTTGCAGCTCTCCCTGTGCCCCCTCTCAAAGCATGTACATTTTTCCTAGCTCTCCTTTGCACCCATCACCTGCTGCACCGATCTGCACCCATCGCCTCACCTGCTGCACCCTCTGCACCCACCACCTCACCTGCTGCACCCTCTGCACCCATCACCTCACCTCCTGCACCGCTCTGCACCCATCGCCTCACCTGCTGCACCCTCTGCAGTTCCTCGAGGGCCATCTGCACCTTGGGCGACCGTGCTGCCCCCACCAGCACAAACTGCACAGAGGGGTGGGGAGAGGGAAGGTGGAGAGATGGGCGAGTGAGAGATCTGCCGCCGAGATGAGAGGAGGACAGAGAGTAGCGGACGGAGGGCAGTATGGGACAGGGCAAAGGAAGAAGAAAGGGAAAGCGTCATGACCAACCTGGGCATGTGAAACCCCCGTGACGCACCTGGGCCTGGTAGGCGAGGGAGCACGAGAGCGCCCCCTTGATGAGCTCCACATGTGCCTCGCCTATCTGCGGTGACACATACGCTACCACTGCCTCACCACGCCCCGACCCATCTGAGCAGGTCAAACCCCCCCTTCCACCCACCTGGGCCTGGTAGGCTAGGGAGCATGCGAGCGCCCCCTTAATGAGCTCCACATCAGCTTCCCCTATCTGCGGCGACACATACGCCACCACTGCGCGCTCCAACCCCGATGCCGAGTCTATCACTGGCAACCCGAGCCTCTTCCGAACCTCCGCCCGAGCCACTGCCTTGCCAGGCATGGGATCAGAGGCTGTGATTGGCACGGGGAGTGCGAGGTCGCGGGTCGGGTCCCATGTGGATTGGTCGAGTCCGGAGGGCAAACCAGCGAACTTCTGGCTGCGGGTTGGAGGAAGTGGATGGTTAAACGGGCGGAGGCAGGGAAAGCAGAGTTAATTTGCATGCCTCGTGTTGGGGTCCTGGTAGGGAAAGGGATATTGGCAGTGATGGCAGAGAGCAGGCGGGCCCAAGATTGGAGCAGTGACGGGATAAAGCTGAAAGGAGAATCTGTCGTGAAGGAGGCGCGGTCTGGCTGCAGTGGCGGGGTAGAGTGGGCACCCACCTGTGGATGGCGACGGTGGCACCCACCTGTGGATGGTGACGGTGGCATCGAGGCCGCAGCCGAGCTCACGGGTCTTCATGTCACTGGCATACGTGGGCGACACCGTTGTTACCTTGTTGGAATACACGATGCCACCCTGTGGTGGGCGTAGAGGGTGGGAGGGAGAGAGAGGGGGTGGAGTGGAGGTGCAGCAGAGAGGAGGAAGGGCGGGATGTTGCTCGCGGGGAGGAGGAGGGACGCAAAAGAACTGGCGGGCAGGTCAAAGCATGGCACGTTGCAGGGAGCACCTTGGTGAAACGGGGAGCAGTGCAACAGACTTTCATGTGGCAGCATTATGTGCACCTGACTCAAACGGTCTGCATCCAATGTGCACGGCCCAGCATGGCACGGCACCATGAGCAGACAGATACTGACGCATGTGAGAGGAGCAGAGCGCACCTTGAGCAGGTTCACAAGAGCCGGGTCGCGGTTGTCCTGCAGTCTATCAGGGCGGTTCAGCTGCGAGGGGTCCAGCCCCACCTGCGCCAGCTTGCCTGCTGGCTGGGCGTTCTGTAAAGGGTGAGGGAGAGAGAGCAAAGGGAGGATGGCAGGGAATGAGGATGGGGGGTGTGAGGAGGTGGGGAGTGGGGGGTGGGGAGTGGGGGAAAGGGAGTGGGGGATGGGGGATGTGAGGAGGTGGGGAGTGAGAGCAAGAGGCAAGTCGGCTCAACTGGAAGGCGTCGTCATGCGGCAGGACAGGCAGGAGGCTGCGGGCTGTGCCTTTGGTTGCAGGGCCTGGATGTGCAAGAAAGGGGGGGCGAGGGAGAAAACTTCTAGTGTAGGCGAGCAAACAACCTCATGAGCGCAGCGAGGAGCAGTGCTTTGCAGCAGGCGATACGTGCAAGCAAGCAGGCAATACCTGGAAGCGGGCGTCATGGCAGGTGAAGAGGATGCGGGTGTCGGGCATGCCCTGGTGGTGGTAGATGTCCCAGAACAGCGGTGCGCCCACTGCCGTGTGCCAGTTGTGCAGGTGCAGCACGTCCGGCTGCTTGCCCTGCTGCTGCACGTACTCCAGCGCTGCCCGCGTGAAGTAGGTGAAGCTGAGGGGAAGAGGACCCGAGGGGAGAGGCAATGGGGAAGGGGCGCGGAGGTGGAGAAGCAGGGAGAGCATGGGAAAAGCAGCTCAGACCGTCTTTGTAAGCCCTGCTGCACACACTCCAGTGCTAACGCTCAAACCCGCTTTAAGGACCGCATGAAGAGCTCGTGTGGTGCAGTGCTGACCGCTCAGAGTCACCCTCACAGGTCAACGTTTGTGTGGTGCGTGCATGGCTCACCGCTCAAAGTCGTCCTCATAGTCGTAGAGGTGGTCCCTCTGGAAGAAGGCCGCTGGATGCAGCGGATGGATGAACGTCACTGGCAGCCCGTGCACCGTGCTGTGAGGGGGGGGGGGGAGGCAAAGCAAGCAGGCAGGAAGGCGGGCAGGCAGGCGGACAGAAATACAGGTACGCAGGTAGGCAGGCACGAAGGCAATACGAGCAATCAGGGAGGAGAGTTAGTAGAGCACAAGAACGAGACAGCAATGGCAGCAGTGCAGGCAACGGTGTTATGGCACAACTAAGTGTCAAGCACATACAGATGTAAGCCCACTAGATCTGAATAGATTGACACCAGCACACACTGCCAGCCACAAGCGTGCCACTCACCCGGTGTAGATCTTATTCTTGTGCCACTTGTTATCGAAGAAGGACATGATCTCGCCTGGCGCCTCCCTGAAGTCCTCAATGGCACTCGTGTCCACGCTTGAGTACCTGCCGGGTAGCATGGCGGGCGGAGATGGCGTGAGTGTGTGGGGCGAGAGGGGGGGTGATTTTCAGCACACTTCCTAACGCCTCCCTGAACGATGCAATGGCAGTGCAGGGTGCACAGGAGGATGGATGCGGGGTTGCTAGCAAGAAGGGGAAACGAGTGGGGAGGGGAGCAGTGGGTGATGGCAGAACAGGATAAAAACGGCACAGCAGGTTGCCGCATTCAACAAAAAGGAAGAAGAGCCGCTCAACAAACGCAGCTTACAGTGGCAGAACGACCTCCACGAGGTGGCCCTTCTTGCGGAGTGCGCAGCACAGCCCCGCCATCCACGTGGCTAGGGACCCCGCCTGGGCCACTGGCGCGAGCTCCGTGCACACGTGCACCACGTGCAGTGTCCTGTGTGAGGGTGGGGAGTTGGAGGGGGGAGGGGCGCAAATGGGAAGGGGAGAGAGGGAGGCACATGGGAAACAGATGGGGTGGACGATGCGAGCTTGAGTGTATTAGAGATGGGAAGGGAGGGAAGTGGGGTTGGTCGTTGCCACCATGAGCAAACGTTCCAATGCAGTCAAAATCGCCTTGACACTCACTCACCACCCTCGCGCCCTCTCTACCCATTTCTCAGCTCCTTCCCCCCACTGTCTCCCCCGACATTTCCTTCCATTCTCCTCACCTCTTCCCCACCCCCTCCTCCCCCCCTTTCCCCTTCAACCTCCCCTACCTAACCTTTCCCCCGAACCTGTTGCTGCCATCAATGAGTCGCAGCAGCGCGCGCACCACCTGCGCGTCCTCCAGCGGCTCCACGTCAGTGTACACGTCAGCAGCGCGGGCATCCCTAGAGGCAGCGAGCCCTCTTAGCGCCTGCGCCTGCGGGGCGGTGAGCGCCTTGGCGAGCAGCAGCCCGTCCACGCGCAGCAGCAGGCGGCTCCACACGGACGCCGGCTCCCCCGCCCTGCCGCCCGCCTTGCCGCTCGCTTTGCTGCCCGGAACGGTAGTTACTGAACGCGTGGGGCTGCTGGGTGCTGCAGACAGCAAGGGGGGTGGGGTGGGTTGGGTGGGGGGAGGGGGTGGGGCGTGGGTTGGCAAGGACAAGCGGTGAGCGCCTTGGCGAGCAACAGTCCGTCCACGCGCAGCAGCAGGCGGCTCCACACGGACGCCGGTTCCCCCGCCCTGCCACCCGCCCTGCCGCCCGCCTTGCTGCACGCTTTGCTGCTCGCTGCCGAACGGGTGGGGGCAGGCAGCAAAAGGTTAGGGGTTAGGTGGGGTTGAGGTGTGGGGGTTGGGAGGGGAGGGGGTTGCAGGATAAGGGGTGAGGCAACAGATAGGAACGGCACGCGCACCACCTCGCTACCTTTCAACGCTTCACAACGCTTCACCTGTGCGCCGATCCCTACGCGCGCTACCCGTAGCCTCTCCGCCAGCAGAACCCTCGGCTCTACCCTTGTGCGCAGACTCTCCATCGAGATTCCACTCGAAGGTTTGCTCAATCAGCGCAGACCCCGGCCCTCCCAGCCCTCACCTGCGGCGACCCCCAGCTCCGCGGCTCTCAGGCGCTCCTCCAGCAGCTTGCGCTGCGCCTCCCCCGCCTCCGCCTCCGCCTGCAGTTGCGCGACGCGCGCCGCCAGGTACTCGCGCTCCGCCTCCGCCTTGTGCAGCTCGTCCAGCGCGATGAGGCGCTGCTTGTTCAGGTACAGCATGTCTGGGGGAGGGGGGGAAAGGGGACGAGCGTAAAGGGGGGAATGGAGACGGGATGGGAAGGGGGAGACGTTTCAAAAGCTATAGTTGTGTTGCTTGTTCAGGTACAGCATGTCGGGTGTGTGGGGGGGAGAGATGAGGTGCAGCATGCGTTGCGGAGGGGGATCGGGATGAGGGAGAGGAGGAGGCGAATGCACATTGACGGAAGCATAGATCCGAAAAGTTCTGGTAAGTTGGAGCGACGCGGGAACAGCACACACTGCACTGGCTATCAGGAATTTATCACTGCGTCAGAGCCGCGCGCGGAGCGTGTTTAACGAATTTAATGGCCACGATTTACTTGGCAGCAGGGCGATCTGTTGGTGTGGGACCTACTCTGTTGCGCGTCGTTGAAGAGTTTCATCATGTCGCCTCCTGAAGCCTTCCCCGACGCGTTCGGCGACACCTGCAAAGTGGTTACAGATTGTTAAGCGACTATTACCCAGACTCGTATTGGGTGGACGTAAGCGGTGCTGCATGGAATCGACAATGCGACGCTGCTAGATTGCATTGAACAGCAGATCCTTACTTTGATTCCATCCAGTTCGTTGGCCGACTGGCTGCGTGGGAGAGAAACCGGGAGAAATGGACAAAAGGTCAAGCATACAGAGAATTAAAGGATAATGAATGAGTGATGAGGAATGCGGTCTCGTAGTCGTTGTCAAAGCAGTCCGATCGAAGCAGATCTAGATCTGCAAAGGCTGGTTGACCAAATGGACCATAAGGCAAAACCCTAGATTCAGCGCTACCTTGAATCCGCGGCACTTCTGACGGATAACGCTCTTCTGCTGATCGGAGTGGGGAACCGGAAGGTACGAGGTCGAGGAAACGAGCCGTACGGTTCATGTCGTCTAATGGCAGCAGCGCTCGGCTCTAATCTCGCTTCCAGGTTTCTGCAGGATAGATCTGACACGCTCGCGCGTGACATTGACGCTGGACGCATAAGCTGCGCCATGGCGTTCTAAGCGCCGGAACCAACGTGCCGATAGGAATGCCGCGCGACAGGACTACGATCCGCAGGTAAAATTTGGCGATTAAGTATCACTAGACAGCACCAGCAACGTTGGCTTGCATCAGAACAAGCCGCAGCTGGAGTGTGTCAGGTCAAGACCCAGGACTGAGGAAGATTCAAAAGATCCGAGGATTAATCTTGGCGGAAAAGTGGGCTAGGGGGAATATGTGATGCCATACCGTGTGAATATTGAAGGTGAAGGGCGGGAAGGGAGGGACCAAAATCCACGCGCCAGAAGTTCCGAGTCCCAAATCATGTTTCTCTCGCTTTCTTCGCCAGCTTTCCTCGCGTGCCCCGACGGGTAACCTCTCGCCAACGGCCTTCTTTTCCCAGTTCACAGGATCTTTACCTTTTCGGTACACGTGGCATAGCATCCACGTACCAGGCCACACAATTAGCTGATACAGAGGACAGCTCACAGCAATCGCCCACCACCTAAGCCTCTTTCGCATCACTTCGTTTAGCCAGAGCAAACCACAGAATGGCGAAAGCGAAATCAAGGGTTTCTGGAGCCTCCGCCGCACAATTCCCCGTTGGCACATCGGGCACTAGGGATGTTGTGGATTGCGAAAAGAAGAACTGTCGCGAAGGTTGTGCGAATTGCACCTTCACCAGAACGAAGCGGGAGCGACAGCCGCGACACGCGAGAGTGACGCAGCAAAAGCACGATGCACCAGGACACACAGGGCTGACCTTCAAGCCCTAGGGATTGTCCCTCCCGCCATGGTTGCTCTCCCTCGGCTCTCCAGAAAGGTGGGCATGAATGAGTGATTTGTGTGGCACAAAACTCATGCATGTGAGTTGGTCAGGCGCTCAAGATAAAGTGCTTTTGTTTGGGTTGTCTCTGGAACCTTTACAGTGGGAGCTGCCGTTGGGAGGATTCGCACCTGATTAGTCCGAGGCTGAGCTTGATCAGCTGGCGGAGAAAGAAACTTCACTGGTGTGCTTCTCCTAGCTGCCTACGTCTCGGCCTTATCGGTGCGCATTTGCAGTTTCCTCGCAATGGCGGGCGTCCTACGGCAAGGACTCTCCTCTCCTCGCATACCGACCGACAATATGCACCCGCAGTCGTCGCGGTATAGTTCGTTAGCCCGTCCGTCGGAGCCAATACGAGGCAGCGCGGTTCCAGCGGTACCGCAGTCCCTAGCGAAAGCGCCGCGGCCGTCGCATTCCGCCAGGCGGAGCGTATTCCCGGCGTTGACCCGTCGACGGCTCACTACCAGGTGTGCAGCCCTCATGCAAGCAAGCACTCTCCGCCTGCGTGCAGCGCCGTGCAGCACTCCTTGCAATCCATTCAAGCGTGAAAAGCTTGACTGCCATTCCTTACCTGCTCGCTCAAAATTCAAGCTTCACGCACTCGTTGCACAAATTCCAAGCCTCCTCCGCTTCCCCCGCCTTCCCGCCCTCCCTTCAGAAGAACGCCAGCTAGCAGCACCAGGCTCCAGGTAATACCTCACTGGATGATAACGGCTTCACTCGTAACAGGCATTTTTAGTTGTAGAAAATGATTTTTGGTGCTGCAATCATTCTTTCAAAGGCATTCGGTTTCGCGCTGGTCTGACAGTGTATCTTAGCCGTTGCGTTGATGGACATCGCAGGTGGTCGCTGTCGGTTCCGCCGTCTCCGCCGACGTCGCAAACGGCGCTGTCCGCGACGCGCAACCGAGTAAGCACGCAGGCACACAGCTCAACGCAACGTTCGGGTTAGGTGCACTCTCCGTTCGAAATTATGCAGAAAACGGAAAATAAAATAGAAAGCATCGAGCTTCGAATTTTGTACGACGGAACGCTCCCCGTTTCTTATGCGCCGCGTGCTACTCGTGCCGTAACCTAAACGCCCGCGTGTTTCACGTCCCTGGTACGAATGAACGGCAGGGAGCGCGTTACCCGCGTCGGCGTGGGCGGCGGTGACGGATGAGGTGGCGGTGGGGTCGCTGGCCGTCAGCAGCAGCGCCGCCGCCGTGGCTGCGCTCGCGAGGGACGCGCGCATCACCGCCGTTGTCGTTCTCGAGGTGCGCGCTCGTCGGATTCTCGTTGGTAGCTGCGTTGAGCGGCAGCGTGGCAACTAACGTCAAGCTAGGGCTGATTCTCGCCGGTTTCTTTTCACGTGATTCGTGTGTGTAACTGTGCGTGTGTGTGTGTGCAGGAGGAGGGGAGCTATGGCGCGCGGGGCACGGGGTGGGAGGAGGAGAAGCGGGCGCTGCAGGACGCGGGGCTGGTGGCCGTGTGGGTGCCCATTCGCGAAACCGACTCCGCGGAGCAGGTGGGACGGGGGGGGGTAGCCGGTGGCCGTGTGGCAGCGTGGTTGTGTGGTTCGAACGGAGATGGAATCGCTGGGAAAATTTAGTCTCATGAGATGCCTGTGCCAGCAGCTTGGAATGTGGGAGCATATGGGAGGTGGGACGTACGAGAGTCATGGCTTACCAGGTGAAACGCTCGTCGGGTGACGAGTGGGGTAAGTACAATCGCCCTCTCATGCCGTACTCATCTTGTCCCCTCACTCATCTCCACTGCGTGCCACGCCACCTCCCACCATGCAGGCAGCCATGCTACCACAGGCAGTGCGCGTGCCGACGGCCCTGGCCGCCCTGCACCACTCCATGCTGCTGCGCTGCCCCCCCGCCGCCCTCCCTTCTCACACACCACACCCTCACTTGCATTGCAAACCCATTCCCTCCCGCCTCTCACCGTGCAGGCAGCCATGCTACCGCAGGCAGTGCGCGTGGTGGCAGCCCTGGCCGCCATGGGCCACAGGGTGCTGCTGCGCTGCCCCTCAGCTGCCCGCCTCTCCCCCCTCATCGCCCTCGGGTGGGTCCTCAGTCCTCTCGAATGGTCCTCTCACTCTCTCTCCACCGCACCTGCCTCTGCTGTGTCGATGCCTCACTCACTCACTCTCGTTCACTCGCTCGCTCTCATCCTCAATTGTTACTCTTGCTTCTAACGTGTTGTTGTCACGTTGGGTCCCGTGCACTGTAACGTGCGTGGCAGGTATCTGGTGCTGGCCAAGGGCATGCCAGTGAGCGCAGCACTGGCGGTGGTGAAGGAGAGCAAGCCCAACGCCGACCCGCCTGTCAACGTGCTCATGGAGGTAAGCCCACCCTCCCCCGCTCCCCCCTTCCATGTCCAGTCAACCAAAGCAAAACACGCCACCCCCATGCGCGCCCTCCCTCCCTCCCTGCATGCATCTCTCCCATCAGTCGCTATGCATGCCAGGCCAAATCACATTCTCCCCTTCCCCGCCCCCCTTCTCCCTTCCACCCTTGCTCCCTCTCCGCCTGTCTGCCTGCCTGCACCCGCCAGGCGCGCGAGAGGCTGCTTGCGGGAATGACGTCGCGGGTGATAACGATCGCCGAGGCCATCTACCACACGCGGTGCACCACGGGGCAGCACGGCGACTCCCAGTCCGACTGGGCCGTGCGTTGCTCTCCCTGGCTCCGCTTCCTCGCCCTCTCATGCCCTGCCCTGTCATGCCATGCCCTGCCATGTCATGCCATGCCCTGCCTTGTCATGCCCTGCCCTGCCTTGTCATGCCCTGCCCTGCCTTGTCATGCCCTGCCCTGCCTTGTCATGCCATGCCCTGCCTTGTCATGCCATGCCCTGCCCTGTCATGCCATGCCCTGCCTTGTCATGCCATGCCCTGCCTTGTCCCATGCCCTGCCTTGTCATGCCATGCCCTGCCCTGTCATGCCATGCCCTGCCTTGTCATGCCATGCCCTGCCTTGTCATGCCATGCCCTGCCCTGTCATGCCTTGCCCTGCCTTGTCATGCCATGCCCTGCCTTGTCATGCCATGCCCTGCCCTGTCATGCCCTGCCCTGCCTTGTCATGCCCTGCCCTGCCTTGTCATGCCATGCCCTGCCTTGTCATGCCATGCCCTGCCTTGTCATGCCATGCCCTGCCTTGTCATGCCCTGCCCTGCCTTGTCATGCCCTGCCCTGCCTTGTCATGCCCTGCCCTGCCTTGTCATGCCCTGCCCTGCCTTGTCATGCCATGCCCTGCCTTGTCATGCCATGCCCTGCCCTGTCATGCCTTGCCCTGCCTTGTCATGCCATGCCCTGCCTTGTCATGCCATGCCCTGCCCTGTCATGCCCTGCCCTGCCTTGTCATGCCATGCCCTGCCTTGTCATGCCCTGCCCTGCCTTGTCATGCCATGCCCTGCCTTGTCATGCCATGCCCTGCCTTGTCATGCCATGCCCTGCCCTGTCATGCCATGCCCTGCCTTGTCATGCCATGCCCTGCCTTGTCATGCCATGCCCTGCCATGTCATGCCGTGCCGTGCTGTCCCCATGGCTGGCTGTATGCGCGAACCCACCATCCTCACCATACCACCACCCCCATCACCCGCATCATCCTATCACCCCCATCACCCCCATCATCCCATCACCCCCATCACCCCCATCATCCCATCACCCCCATCACCCCCATCACCCCCATCAGCCCCATCAGCCCCATCACCCCCATCACCGCCATCACCACCATCACCCCCATCACCCCCATCACCTCCATCACCCCCATCACCCGCATCACCCCCATCACCCCCTTCCCATCACCGCCATCACCGCCATCACCCCCATCACTGCCATCACCGGTCCCACGGGCACCAGCACAACCGTTGCACCGTCTGCTGCTTCATGGATCCTATCCCTCCTTACACCTGCTCGCTCCCCTCCTCTCCCCCCTCACGTCTGCTATCCCCGCTCCTGTGGTGTGTGCCCTTACACACCTGCCCGTCCCCCTCATGTCTGCTCGCCCCCCAACTCTCCCCCTCTCGTCCCCATCACAGCAAGCGCAAGAGCAGTGCTCGCGGGAGCTCTTTGACAAGTGGCTCCTCGCTGACGTCAGCTTTGCCCGCTCTGTTGCTCAGGTGAGTATGCTCTGTTGCTCAAGTGAGTATGCTCTGTTGCTCAGGTGCGTTTGCTCTGTTGCTCAGGTGGGTGCTCTCTGTTGCTCAGATTGGATACGCTATTCTGGTCAGGTGGATTTTCAGCTCGCATCTGTTCCTCAGGTCAGGTTGGCACATTGCAATGGGAGAAGCTTGTCCCGCAGTTGCCATCTTTCCCTCCTCCCAAATATGCCTTGTCTGATCGTCTCTCCTTGACTCCGTCTATCCCCATCACCCCCCACCTGCATTCCTTGCTCCAGTCTGCGGAGCACCAAGTGAGGAGCAAGGCACAAGAGGCGGATGTAGCAGCAGCAGCATTGGCGGAGCGAGCAGCAGAGGAGGAGCAGGGCGAGCGTGCGGCAGACCCCCTGAAGGGCCTTTTTGACCCGGCTTCCTGGTTACCGAAGCCAGATCCAGACCAGCGCAGCAACGGCGCCAGCAACGCCAGTGACAGCAGCAGCAGCAGCAGCAGCAGCATCAGCGGTGATTCAAGCAACGGTGGCAGCAGTGCCATAAGCAACGGTTATGATGTTACCACGGGCACGGAACTTCCCTCTCTCGCGCCGGATGCCCCTCCTGAGCTCCAGGAAGCGAATGCCAGGGTGGAATCCCTCTCCGCCCAGCTGGCGGAGGCACGTGAGTGGCTTGCTGAGCTGGAGGCGTCCAGCAGCCAGGTCCTCGCTGACGTGGCGTCACGGACGGCTGAGATCGAAGCGCTGAAACGCAGAGAGGCCCTCTGGGAGGAGGAGTTAGAGGCAGCTAAGGTGAAAGAGACAGCCATGCGGGAGCAGCTGAGAGTGAAGCAGACAGGGGGAGTGCAGCAAGTGCGCGTGTTGGGAGAGGTGGAGGAGGAAATTTCAGCTCTGAAATTGAAGGTGGCAGAGGGAGAGGAGAGGAACGCTGAGGTGGAGAAGGAAATTGGGGAGCTTCGGGCACAGGTTGACGAGGCAAAGGGGCAGCTTAGGAATGAACGAGCAGTGGCAGAGGAGGCAGAGGAGAGAGTAGCAGCGGCGAACGAGAAAGTGCGGGAGGAGGTTGAGCGGGCAGCACGGGCGCGGGCGGCGGCGTGGACGGCAGCGCAGGAGCGGAGGGCAGTGGTGCAGGAGCTGGCGGTGGTGCGGACGGGGCGGAAGGAGGCGGCGGCGAGGGCGGCAGCGGAGAGAATAGAGGAGCTGCAGGTGCAGGCGGGGCTGCTGGCAGAGCGCGTGAAGCAGGCTGAGGTGGTTAGCACCGAGGCTGACAGCCGTGCCGGGGCGTTGGAGGCACAGGTGAGATGATGGGGAGGGACGTTTTGAGAAAAAATCTTTGTGCATTATATTACGAACAAACATCATTCTCCCACGAGATCTGTTTGAAGTGGGACATCCACATCTCCACTTTGCACTCCTCCTCTCCCATCCCCATCCTTCCCCTCCCCGTCACTACATCCTCTACCCTGTCTCCCGTCCTTCAGATGGCAGTGCTGGTGTCACGCACGGCAGCAGCACAGCAGAGAGCGAGTGCAGCAGCGGCGCGAGTGACCTTCCTGAGTGGGCGCTTCAACTCGCTTGAGATGACGGCTGCTGAGGCCGCTCGCAGGGCGGAGCGGGTGGAGAGCGAGGTGGTTCACCTGCGGGGGCGGGACGCCGACGCTGCTGCTGCTGTTGCTGCCAATGCTGAGGCTATCAGCCGCTTGTCGCTGGAGGTAAGCCGCTTGTCGCTGGAGGTAAGCCGCTTGTCGCTGGAGGTAAGCCGCTTGTCGCTGGAGGTAAGACGCTTGTCGCTGGAGGTAAGCCGCTTGTCGCTGGAGGTGAGCCTCTTCTTTCCGAATTTTCCTTTCCTGCTCTCTCTCGCCCTCCCAACTTCGCACTTCTTGCGCCACTGCCCACCTGCTTCTCTAACCTCCCGCCTGCTGGCAGAGCAGCCCATTGCGATGCCACCCTCACTGCCTCCCCTCCGCGCCACACTACCTCTCCTCGCCCCCCATGTGCCTGCTTCTCGCCCCCCAGGCAATGCATCTCAAGGACAGCGAGGCGGCCCAAGCCCAGCGGGAAGCAGCCCTGTCAGTGCACCTGCCGGCGGCACAGCAGCAGGGCGAGGAGCTGCGGGCGCAGGCCGCCGCCTTCTCCGTCCAGCTGGCAGCCATGGCGCGCCACGTCACCCGGCTCAAAGCTGAGCTGGATTGGGTGGACGCGCACGGGCGGCGGCGCGAGGCCCTCTCAGCACTTTCGGAGGAGCATGGCACAGACGGAGAAGAAGCAGGGCGGAGCTGGAGCCTCTCTTTGGATACGGACGCCTCTTCCCTCGCCACTCTCAGCCCTCTGGGCCCTCTCAATCCCCTCGCGGCGCTGGCGCCACTGGCAGCGGTGGCGGATGCGGCACAGAGCGTGGCGAGTTCAGTGGGGGTGGAGGTGGGAGGTGGAGGGGGCGGGGGTGCGGAGGGGAATGAGGAGTGGGTGCGGCGGGAGGTGGGCGTGCAGGGCGCAGCGGTGGCAGCGGAGGGTGAGCTGGAGGGGCAGATGGAGGGCGTGGAGGACCCTCTGGAGCTGCTCAAGTGAGTGTGAGGTTGTTGAGTGAGTGTGCGAGTGTGTATGAGTGTGTGCGAGTGTGTGCGAGTGTGTGTGAGTGTGTGTGAGTGTGTGTGAGTGTTCACCCATGTGTGTGGTGGGATCAGGATGCCACACAGGCCCATCATGCCACATTCCCACCAAACTCTCCACCCCATCCACCACCCCATGCCCCGACCCCCGCCCCCACCCCCATCCCATCCCATCTCATCCCATCCCATCCCATCCCATTCCCACCCACCACAGGGTGTTAATGGACCGGGTGTCGGAGGAGGCATCAGCCATCACGCAGCGCAGCGCGCACCTGGTGTCGGAGGCGCAGCAGCTGAGGGAGGAGCTGGACGCACAGCTGGCAGAGCAGGACGCCGCCTGCCAGGTGGACGGGCGCCCGCTGAGGGAGGTGGTGGCGGGGGTGGAGCAGCAGGCGCAGCAGCAGCAGGAGGAGCTGCTGCAGCAGGCGGGCGCGCTGCAGTGGGCGCTGGGGGGGTCCCTGGCGCTGGCTGTGGTGGCGCCGCTGGCCATTTACAACAGCTACTTCTCTGAGACTGCCCGATCCAACCAGGTCCGTGTGCCTCTGTGCTTGAACGAGTACCACAGCCATTTTGTCGTGCTGCAGTGATGACAACCGTCCCTTTCATTTCCAGTTGGACCCCCCAAGGGGTCTGCTAGGTGTTGACCCCCCAAGGGGTCTGCTAGGTGTTGACCCCCCAAGGGGTCTGCTAGGTGTTGACCCCCCAAGGGGTCTGCTAGGTGTTGACCCCCCAAGGGGTCTGCTAGGTGTTGACCCCCCAAGGGGTCTGCTAGGTGTTGAAGCCAGTGCAGGCCAGCAGCAATCGTTCCTCCTTTGCGTTGCTCCGCCTCGCCCTCCCAACCCTCTTCTTCCTGGCAGATCAACACGCTCTCTGCACAGCTGGATGCAGCCACACAGGCCAGCAGGGCACTGGAGCAGGTAGCAGGGGAGACCGAGGCAGAGAGCGTAGAGGCAATGGAGAGGTTACACGCCATGGAAGCAGAGGTGGAGGCCCAGCGCGCCGCCGTTACGCGGTTACAATCGCTCGTGCCCCTCGTGGCTCCCTCGGTGGAGTCTGACGAGGCTGCCCGGTTCTGCCAGAACGTGCCGCAGGAGTTCCAGTCACCGATCACGGAGCAGATTTGTGACGGGCTGAGGCAGAGTGGCAGGGTGGAGGCCAAGAGGGTTGATGGTCCGTCGGGTGGCAGTGGGGCGGCACAAGGAGGGCGGTTTGGGTTCAACAACCCTTTCAATCTTGGCTGGAAGCGGTGGTGACATTTTAAAGCCTTGTACTTTTCTTTTTTTGAAATATGCGGTAATGCCAAATGGGGCCACCGTATACCTGCTTGGTGAAGGTGACAGTCGATTGTGTGACTACCAATACCTATTGTATGTACGATGGGCACTCCATAATATACCGGTATAGTCCGTAGTTTTGCTGGAAACGCTCTTGCAATGCGAATGGCTGAGGTTGTTGATCTCATCTCCCCGACAAGGTCCTCAGGGCGCTTGAGTTGTTGCATCTGTACCAGCATGAACATCTTCACTCAGGGGCTTGTTGGGTTCGGGCATCTTGTGTACACTCAAAAGAGCCACATACAATTGTGTTGCATAACACATTGAATCGATGCCATTCCGACCTTGACAGTCTAAGGTGGCTGGAGGTGCACACAGCTTCAAGAGCGAACCTGATTTGTACTCGTGCAATGCATACCTTAAAAAATGTTACAGCATAACCATAAGCATTGAATGAAACAGGAGCGGGCATTGATGCCAAAACAGCTGACAAGATCAACGGAGCTCCCAGCAGCAAGCTGGAAGGCTGCCTGTCCATGAAAGCTAGGCAAGGCAGCAGCAAAACATGGCGGTGCTATGTGCCGGTAGCAACCCAAGCGCTTCAATACACCTCCGGCAGAACCGCTAGTGGTGAGTTGCACTAGCTACTGTTTCCAATTGAACAAATGCTCGTTGAATGTGCGTCGCACTGGGGCTGTATGATGGGTGGGAGGGAGGGCAGCACAGTGATGTGGGCAGGTAACCCAGACGTGCCACGGTGCGGAGAGGCACGGCACGAGGGACGTGCGAGGGTATGGCTAGCCCCGTGCAGCCACACCCATGACTCGATGCAGTGTGGTGTGGTGTGGTGCTGGCGGGGAAAAGAGGGGCGCAGGGTCCGGTGTGTGGCGGGCAGGGGAGCTGTGAGTGTGTGGAGCGAGAGGAGACAAGAGCTGCCGCTGTCATGATTCGATCACAACTTGCTAGATCGCGCAAGCCACTGAGGCAGCAGGCAGGGGAAGGTCAGTGAAGAGAGATAAGCAGTTGGGGTGAGACTTGAGGGGCAATCATGGCAATCATGTGCATGTGAGTCCAGTCACTGCGGCAACAGGCAGCGGTCGTTGAGGCGCCTCAGCAGCACCAGGTGCGGCGCCGTGCCGTGAGCGCGCCCGCAGCGCAGGCAGAAGTGGCTCGCCTCGTTGGGGCACGGGCGGCGCCCGCGGCCGAAGTGGCAGCACCCCGTCTGGTAGAACTGCCGGCACCCGCCGTACTCGTCCGGCGCGTCTAGAAGCGCCGCGTCCGCAGCGGGCAGCCCGCGGCGCGCCTCCGCCTTGAGGTCGTGCTGTAGCGCGGCGATGGCGAAGTCCTCCAGATGCACCAGCTGATGGGGGAAGTGGGGCGCGGGGGGAGGGGGGGAAAGACGTGGAGAGAGATAGGGACGAGAGAATGAGGGGATGGATGGGAGATGGGAACCAGGGGGCATGCAATGACGTGCAAGAGAATGTAGAGAAGCCGCGAAAGCAGCGGAATGAAGGGCGGCATCAGGGGGAAGTGTGGCGCGCGCAACGTACGTCGAGCGCGTGGACGGCCTTCACCATGCGGCGCAGCTGAGTGGCCTCCGCCGCCTGCCGCACCACCACGCACTGCGTCCCCTCCAGCTCCCGCCGCAGCCGCGCCGCCTGTCCCGCCTGCTGCGCCGCCACCTCCCCCGCGCCCGCCAGCTCACCGCGCAGACACGCCACCTCCGCCGCTAGTTGCAGGTGCGCGTCTCCCGCGGAGTCCAGCTCGCGCCGGAGGCGCACCACCTGCCGCGCATGCTCCCCGCACGCGCGCTGCATCTGCGCCATTTCTAGTTGCGCCATCGCCGCCGCCTGCTGCGCTTCAGCCGTAGCGGCTTCCGCCCGCCGCACTGCCTGCTGAAGTCGTTCCACCTCCTCTGCATGTGTCGCCGGTGTCTCGCGTGTCGCGTGTGCCGCATGCGCCACGCCCGCCGCAGCCGGATCTTCCACCGTGCCGCCAACCGCGCGGGGGAGCGTATCAGGAATCGCTTCTTCGCCTGCTGCCTCCCCCGAACCAGCCGCCGCTGCGCCAGGCTCGTCCTTTGCGTCCGTGGGGGCCAACGCCGCAGGCGACGACACGTACCAAGGGTTGTCGGCAGGAAGCGAATCATGCGACAAATGTGCCGCCGTCGCATGGCCGGCGACTGACGACGAAACGGACGACACGAACGACGCGGGCGACGACGGACTGGAACCCGACGACGTAGCGTGTGTCGCCTTTTCCCCCGGATAGGGAATCAAGCTCGCGCTGCGACGACCGCTGCTGCTGCTGTCGCAGTCCGCCGAACACGGCGCAGGTGGCACAAAGGTGGGCGCGGACACCGCGGCGGAAGCCAGGGCGCGGAGAGACCCCGCGGAGGCGGCGTGGGGGAGTGAAGGGCGCGCGGGAGGTTCAGGCGGAGACTGCGAGCGGAGGGAAAGCGAGAGCGCGGAGAGAGAGGTTTCGAGGGCGAGAGAGGGGAAGGCGAAGGCGGAGGACGTGAAGGGCGCGGAGGGCAGGCTCGGCGGAAGCACCGACGGTCCTTGGAGGGCTTGGCCTTGCGCGTGGTGCGGGAGAGAGGGGGAGAATGCGCGGTCCGGGAGATGAGAGGAATTCGCAGAAGCGAGCGCCGAGAGCGCGGAGGAGAGGTGGGAGGGTAGCGGCGGGTGGTGTTGAGCGACAGACTGTTGCCACGACCCCGCGTCGTATGCGACACTGTCGCATGGCGCGGCACTCTGCCACGTGTCACGCGGATAAGACATTTCCGCCTGCAGCGGAGGCCGCGCAAGGTACGTTTCCCATGGCGGCATGGCGGCTGTCGGAAAGGCGGAGGGACACGCGGAATGTGAGCGGAGGCTGCGGAGATGCCAGGAACGAGGGGGCAAGCGAGCGTAGCGGTACGCGGAGATATCGATAGCCAAGAGCGAATTCGATGTGAATGGGCGCGTGGCTGTTGGGACACCACAAGGCTGGTCAGGAATAGAATCCTAATGAGACGAGGTGTTATGTAGTGCCACACTTGAGCTGGCCTTCCGGTTTTGGCTGCTCGCAGAGCGATGAAGTTCTGCTTGCTGCTGTAGGCAAAGCTACGGCATATGCTCTCAATCACCTGCTTCCCTAGCAGCCAATCACAGCGCACACTCTGTCATGGGGGAAAAGCAGCTTCCTTGGGAGGTGGGACCGAGTGGGTCAGTGAATGGTGAGGGATACGATCGAGCCAGAGAGAAAGGCGATGAGGCTTGAGCTCCCGCGGATGAGTGGATGGGGAGCGAGCTGCGAGGGCAGAGGGGCAACCATGGATGTGGCCTGAGCTGACCATGGGTGAGCGTACAACGAGCGAGGCGAGTGCAGCCACCATCAGTCCTGGTGACTCACGACCATCGCCAGCTCTGTGCGACATCTTTGCGAAGCACTCGCAGAAATACTTCATTTTTGCCCAGGGTTATTCCGCACTTGGAATTCGTGACAGTGACAAAACATCTCCTGTTCGAAAAACTGGTGGCTCGTGCGAGGGAGATCCGCTCAGCCTGCACAATCGCCACTCGCCTGCTGTGTGGTGTGGAGCCGCCTTCTCGCATAGCATCCACAATGTGCGACCGATTCATGGTCATCGCGACGTGCTTCCCCGTCGCACAGTCGCACAACCATTCAGTGCACCACTGGACGATAGGTCCTATCTCAACGTTACCCTCTCCGCCAGATAAAAAGCGGGATGCGAAACGCTTGCCGAACTTCTTGGAGCGACAGATGGGATCATGCGAGGCGCGGAAGTCAGCTGTGTGAAAGAGAGAAGAGAGTTGAGAGCAGCGCGCGGATTGGTGGATCGGAAAAAGTGCGGATAACGCTCCACCAACTGAGGTTGCCTGGTCACCACAAATTCACACTCGCTGCGGTGGCGAGCGTACGGCCATCCAGCGAACTTTAGCCTCATGACCAGCCCTTTCCACGATGCGTGACGCGTGTTGGACAGACTCGTTGTTACATATCGACCAAACACATACCCAACGGAGATTGACTTTTAGGAGGTAAGTACACACCAGCCTTCCCAACACAATAAGTTGTGATGTGTCTGCATGAACTGAAGCCATCTTGATGCTGGTAAGTATCCTCAACTCGAGCACCCAGATACGCGTTCATGTGGATTCAAACCATACAAAGAAATAAGGTACCCAATTCTTTCATTTACGGTAGTTGCTTATTGCCAGGAGCAGTGGCCAGCTCATTTCCTAGCGCCATAGTAGAGCTCGAGATAGTCGAGCGCCGGTCTGTTCCAAGTCCAGTCTTGCTCCATGACCCGCTTGGCCAACCCATTCCACCACTCGCGCCCATCATACCACCCAGAAATGGCTCTGCACAGAACACAAGTCAGGGAGGCACCAAGTGGAGGATTTGGAAGGCAGGCGAATGAGTGAGGCAAAAAATATGGAAACTGTGCCTTCAACCTCACGCCATTCTCAATCTATTCCATCAAAGCCAAAGCACTGCTTGTTTCAATTTAGCAGTCACATGCCATTCTACAGTAGTGCGCTGGCGGTCCAGGGAAGGCATGGGTTACAGTACCTGTCGAGGGCATAGTCGAGGCCGGCGGCATCGGCACCCTCAAAGGAGAAGCCGTTGACGTCCTTGCCCTGCGCCCTGGCCCTGTCGTGATCGTTGTCCACGTCAAACACCGTGTCGTTCAACCCTGCCACGCAGAGAGAGAGACGTGCATGCCAGGACGGTAAGAGGGGTTGGGAGAGGGAGGGATGGAAGGAGGGGACATGAAAGGGCAGGCTTGTTTCAGAGCCATTGTGCCACTAAGAACAGTGGGGAAAGGAACAAGGGAGAGAGTGACAAGACGAGAGTTGCAGGGAGGGGGTGGCTGACCTCCTGTCTTGCGCACGACGGGCACAGCCCCATAGCGCATGGCGATGAGCTGTGTGAGGCCACAGGGCTCAAACATGGACGGCACCAGAATCATGTCGCACCCCGCATAGATCTGCCGCGCGAAGTACACAGGACACGCATGGCACAGGGGGGATCACAGCAGCACGGGGACTGGGATGAAGGGGCAGGGTTGATGCAGGAACAGGGTATGAGTATGCGGGTGAACGCATTGCAAGGCAGGGTGCAGTAATGGGTCACAGGCGCAGCAAACACCATGGGGAAGCAGAAGCAGCGCGGGCAGGAGCAACGACACTCAACCGTGAGCCCCAGGAGCAACGACACTCAACCGTGAGCCCCAGGAGCAACGACACTCAACCGTGAGCCCCAGGAGCAACGACACTCAACCGTGAGCCCCAGGAGCAACGACACTCAACCGTGAGCCCCAGGAGCAACGACACTCAACCGTGAGCCCCAGGAGCAACGACACTCAACCGTGAGCCCCAGGAGCAACGACACTCAACCGTGAGCCCCAGGAGCAACGACACTCAACCGTGAGCCCCAGGAGCAACGACACTCAACCGTGAGCCCCAGGAGCAACGACACTCAACCGTGAGCCCCAGGAGCAACGACACTCAACCGTGAGCCCCAGGAGCAACGACACTCAACCGTGAGCCCCAGGAGCAACGACACTCAACCGTGAGCCCCAGGAGCAACGACACTCAACCGTGAGCCCCAGGAGCAACGACACTCAACCGTGAGCCCCAGGAGCAACGACACTCAACCGTGAGCCCCAGGAGCAACGACACTCAACCGTGAGCCCCAGGAGCAACGACACTCAACCGTGAGCCCCAGGAGCAACGACACTCAACCGTGAGCCCCAGGAGCAACGACACTCAACCGTGAGCCCCAGGAGCAACGACACTCAACCGTGAGCCCCAGGAGCAATGTGTGTGTTTAGGGTGGCCCACCAGGTGGCTGAGAGGCTCGTCGTAGTTGAGGCAGAGGCGCTGCATGTTGTTGTGCGAGTTGTTCAGCTGCCCCGCCAGGTGCTCAAACTCACTGTGCACTCGCGGGTCCGGAGCCGATCCCAGCAGCACCACCTGCACGCATGACCACGGGCATGGGCATGGCAGATGGCCAGTACAACAAACATAAAGGGTTGGGCCAGGTGGCGGCATGCTTGATGAGGTGAATGCCAGTCTGCGTTCCCACACTCATTCTCCCTTTCATTCAACTTCCACTCCAGTATTGCAGTCACTCTCCCACTCCCCCATCTTAAATCTGATCCAATCATCCCCATCATGTGCCCTTCCCCTCCCTCACCTGGCCACCGCGGTCCAGCGTGCGCCAGATGGCGTGTTTGATGAGGTGGATGCCCTTCTGTGCTGTGAGCCTTGTCACGATGCCCACCACGGGGCGGTCGTCAAACCGCAGGTTCAGCCGCCGCCGCAGCTCGTCCCTGGCGGCGCGCTTGCCCTCCACCACCTCCTCCGATGAGTACCGCATCTGGTGGCGGGCCAGACAAGGGGACAGGACGGGTAAGGCCAGGGGGGAAGGAAGGGAGCATGCAAACAGGAGTGCATTCCCGTGTGATGTATACAAGCACGGTGTTGGTCTAGGATGCGAGGGGAACAGAGTACTAACCGGCAGGAAGCGGTCAGTCATGGGGTCCCAGATGTCGGGGTCGATGCCATTGAGGATGCCGTGGAACTTGCCCCGGTGCGCTGCCACCGCCCCGTGGCCCCCTATCTCCCACGCGTACGTGGGTGACACCTGCAGGGCGTGGATGGGGCGAGGGGAGGTGGAAGAGTCAGTGGCATGGCACAGTAGAGCAGCACAGAAGTGCTGGCATTGCAACACAGCAGCGATGGCAGCAGCAGCAGCAGCAGCAGCAGCAGCAGCAGCAGCAGGGGGGACGGCAGTGGCGGCACTGACAGTGGTGGCCATGTTGCAGGCGGCCATGGCGCGGCCAATGAGCGCCTGGCCGAACTCAAGGTTGTGGATGGTGAACACCGTGCGCGCGTTGCCCAGCCCGTACTGCTTGTAGCTCTCCGCGTGCAGCCATGCCACCGGTGCCGACGACCAGTCGTGGCAGTGCAGGATGTCCTGAAGGGGACAAAAGTGGGGGTGGGTGGGAACGGGTGTGTTGGTTGGTAGGGAGTGGTGGGGATAGACAAGTGGACGACAAGTGGATGGGGAGTGTGCGTGATGAGTGCGGGAGAGTGGAAGCGGGCATGAGAGCATGGAGCTGCGTTCAGCGGCTAAGAGGGAAAACGCAAAGAGCGAGCAAGGTTGTGAGGAGGAGGGGGGGACTGACGGGCTGGCGGCCGGTCTGCACGAGCATCTCAAGTGCCGCGTTGCAGAAGATGCCAAAGCGGTGCCCGTCGTCCTTGCGCCCATAGATGCAGTTCACCCAGAATATGCTGCCCGGGGGGAAGGGGACGGAGGGGGAGGGGGGAAGTTTTTGAGTTGGAAAACAAACGCTTTCGCGGGACAGGTGAGGGAGAAATGGGGGGGGAGAAGGAGGGGGGATGAGGGATAGGAAGGGTTGAAGAGAGAAAACGAGACGAGCGGAGAGATAAAAAAAATGGAGTGGTCGAGTTGTGGCAGGTGAGTGACAGTGAAGAAGGCAACTGATTACCAAGATGAGAATTCAATTCTAACGAAGCACGCTGCAATAGCAATGGTTCACATCACATATGCCGCACACCTCACCCCTGCCCATCCGCCCCCTGTCCACCGCATTTGGCCGTCCAGCCCCTTCATCCTCACTCACCCATCCATCCCTTCACCCCTCATCCTCTCTTCCCCCTCTGCATTCCCCTGCTCACCCGCTCTCGGGTTCAAGGAAGTGCACGCCAATGCCCTCCACGTAGCCAAACCACATGCGCCAGTTGGTGCCGCCCCACGCAAACGACCCCCGGTCCTGCAAGTCCTGGATCTGCAAGATGGCATCCAGGGAGTGCGTGAGAGAGAGGGGATGAGTTGGGATGACAGGTGGGAAGCACGGTGGAGTGAGATAAGCTGCGTGCTCGTGGGAAGGTGTGGGGGGAGGAGGGAGAGAGTACGTGAGCAGATGCTCAGCTGCCTGTGGTGACCCTGAGTGCGGCTCATCGGTTCATCGCGGTACTTGTGGCGCGAATGAATGTTCATGTAGGAGAGCATGACACGCAGTGTACACCATACAGTAGGATTGTTGAGTGTAGGTACTTGGGTGGGTACATGTGACATGGATGATGTATGTACTATGTGGTGTGTGTGAGCACGCAGCACTCACGCAGTCGTATTTGAGGACGTCGTACTTGGGCAGAATGACCTCCGCCTTGTGCCCCAGCTCCAGGATGGCTCGAGACAAGGACGTCACCACGTCGCCCAGACCCCCCACCTGCACGTACCACATGCCATGTGCCATGTGCCATGCCCCGCCACCCACCACCATTCACAGGCAATCCATGCGCATGCAAGTGCCACGCCGGGACAGGCGGGCAATCCATGCGCATGCCCATGGGCAGGGCCGTTGGCAAGCACAGTGGAAATGGACGATTGGTGGAGATGGGGGAGGTGGTGATGTGATGCGAGGGGGGCAGCATGGGCGAAGTAAGAGTTGCAGCAGAGGTGAGTGGGGGGGGAACAGAGAGGATGGGGAAGTGGGGCTAAGCGCTAGATGGATGGAGGCATGCCCACGTGGGTGATGGGTGACACGTGGAGTCTGTCGGACGTACCTTGGCAATGGGCGCCATCTCGAGGGCGACGTGCACGATGTAGAGCGGCGGCTCCTTGGTGGTGCTGCCCACTATGGGCACGTGGTAGTCCAGCCCGCCCCTGTTGTCATAGGTGGCCACGTTGGGGTCGCTGCTGTCCATGAACACCAGATCCATTATGAACGCATCGTGGGGCACCGTCACTGGGGGGTGGTGTGAAGAGGCAGAAAGCAGAGAGTGGAGAGTAGAGAGGGGTCGCTGCTGTCCATATGAACACCAGGGTCCATTATGAACGCGTCGTGGGGCGTCACTGGTGGGATGGTGGATGGGTGGGATGGTGGATGGGTGGGTTGGTGGATGGGTGGATGGGTGGATGCAGGCAGAGAGCACACAGCAGAGGGCAGAGGCAGAGAGTAGAGAGGGATGGGCACGGCAGCTTGCATGCCAGGCAATGGACGGTTGTGACTCACCCTCGCCAACGAGGTGGGTGCCGTTGGAGGCGGGGCGCATGTGCACGGGGAGGAAGCACCCGGTGCGGTGCGTCCAGCGGTTGAACGACCCGCGCATCCACACGTCGTGGCGCCCGTGCAGCACCGTGTTCTGTGGGTTGTAGAACACGCGCACCGTCTCCCCCGCACGCGGCTCAGCGGGCTCCGTGAAGAACACGTGCGCCTGCGACTGCAGGAACGTCTCCATGGTGCGCCGCTTCATCGCCAGCTTCGCCTCCTGCCGCCTCACCTCCTACCAGTGTGTGTGACGGGGAAGTGAGTGAAAGGCAGCAAGGGCGCGGTGAAGGAGCAGCATGGTAAAGCAGTGGGGTTCAGCAGGCGCGGTGAAGAACACGTGCGCCTGCCACTGCACGAAGGTTTCCCTTGTGCGCCGCTACAGTGCCCGCTTTGTCTCCTGCCGCCTCACCTCCTGTGAGGGGAGGCGAGGCGTGTGTGGGAGGGGAAGAGGCAGCAAGGGGGCGGTGAGAGAAGCGCAGGCAAAAAAAAGAGTGGGTGTCCGTGTGTGCTTGCTTTGCTCGGCACACCGGAGTGGGGAGCGTGGTGAGCATGCCTTCTATTGTTTCTCAAGGCAATTAGCCCGCGGTGGCATTTGAGCGGACTGAGAAGTCATTCTGAGTGAACTGAGGAATGTTCTGACACCACGCTCGTAGTCACCGATGAGGTGGGCGTGGATAGGAGTGGATGGCGGTGTGAGTGCACATTAGCGAGTGTGGATAAGAGCATGCAGAGTAGGTACATATGTGTGCAAGTGCGTGGGAGTGTGGGAGGGCCAGGCCCATGCCAACGCAACGCAAATGTGCTAGCGTGTGTGTGCATTTGCTTGTCGAAACTATATTTCCGCTTTTGTCTCTATACATTGTTACCCTTCCTTTCATCCTGTCAAGTCACCCTCACCTGTCGAGCACACCTAGGGATGAGCAAAGGGCGAACACGAACATGTTCGTCTTCGCCCCTTGTCGAACACCCTCTTTTGCCGAACCGAACACTGTTCGGTTCGGCGAACAGTTTAGGAAAAAACAGGTGTTCGCTGTTCGCCTGTGGAGGCGTGTTCGGGCGAACCTCGAACACTGTTCGTGTTCGTCGCGGGCAAATTTCAGCAGCGGCCCGAACACGAACGTGTTCGGGCGAACATCGAACGTGTTCGGGCGAACATCGAACGTGTTCGGGCGAACATCGAACACTGTTCGGCGAACGATTTGAGCTAAAAAACAAAACCTGTTCGGTTCGCCTCGAACACGTTCGAGGCGAACCGAACAGGTGTTCGCCACCTTGCTCATCCCTAAGCACACCCACCGCTGCCAACCCTCCCTCCCACCCCATCTCTCACCTCCTTGGCCTCGCGCTCCTCACGAGCAATGCGCTCCGTCTCCAGCTTCACCAGCAGGCGCTCCTCCAGCTCGTCAAACAGCTTCCGCGCGTCGTCGTCGCTGCCCACGCTGGCGGCGAAGTCCTTGCGCCCGTTGTTGTCGTACGCGCCCGCCTTGCCCACCGCCCCGTCCGCCATCACCCAGTTCAGCACCACCGCGTCCGCCGGCAGCGTCACTGAGGGGGGAGGGGGGAACGGGGATGGGCGGGAGAATACGGGGAGAGTGAGGGGGGCATGGATATAGGATTGGGCGAAAGAGGGTGAGTGATGAAGGGAGACGGGGCGGAAGGGAGGACTGGGGGATGAGGGAAGGGAAGTGGGAGGAAGTTGAGGGGAGGGGGAGGGGACAGGGTGTGAATAGGATGGGAGGCGTCGCTATCTGAGGGAGGGGGTTACATTGCAGGCCAAGGGGGGAGTTATGAAGCACTCACACTCCACAGACCACCAGTCGCCGTTCTCCTGGTTATCTGGTTTCAGCTCGCCCGTTGCGGACAGCCCGTCCTGCCACCCGTTCACCCCTCCGTGCACCCACACCGCGCCACTCCGCGCCAGCAGTCGACCCGCCCTGTTATACAGCAGCCGCACAACGCGCTCGCCCCCCTCCGTGCGCCCCACCTCCTCCACGCGCCACACGCCCTGAAGACTCGTGCCACACGTGCGCCGCATCTCCCCCAGCCGGTTCCGCGCGTCGTTCGCCATGTCGCGCGCCTGCTTCCGCTCCGCCTCCTGCTGCGCCTTCAGCTTCGCCACCCTGCGCTCCTCCGCCGCGCGCCGCTCCCGCTCCGCCTCCTCCGCGGCCTCCCGCTCTGCCTCCTCCCGCTTGCGCTCATTGAGCATGGTCTCAAACTCCGCCTCGCCCATGCCGCCAGTCACGGCGATATAGAAGTCCTGCCCGCCATTGTTCTCGTACACGTTGTCCGTGCTGTGGAATACGAAATCCACCTGATACGCCTCTTCCGGAACCTGGATGCGGCACGTCCACCAGTCGTTAGGCACCTCCGCGGACGGCTTGAGCTCCGCTTTGAACGGCTGCCACTGCCAGTTGTTAAACGCGCCGACAACGTTCACTCCAGATTTGTCTTTCAACACGCTCGCCGGGCGGTGGAAGAAGATTTCGACGGGCTTGCCCGGCTCCACCTGCCCGGGGTAGAAGAACATTTTCGCGGCGATGAACTCGTGCTCCTGCTGCAGCTTCCGCAGCTGCTCTTGCCGCGGCAGCTCCACCATTTTCGCTGCTTCCGCCCGCGCCTTCGCCTCCGCCTCCGCGCGCTCCCGCGCTAGGGCTTCTGCTCTAGCGCGCGCGTCTGCTTCCTCCCTTGCTCGTGCGGCCGCTTCACGGCTCGCCATCGCCGCTGCTTCTTCTGCCGCCTTCGCCTCCGCATCAGCACGCGCGCGTGCCGCTGCGACTTCGCGCATCCCCGCCGCGGCCTCTTCCCGCTCGCGCGCCAGCGCAGCTTCCTCTTCCGCCTTCTCCGCCGCCTGCACCGCTCTCAGCGCCTCTCGTTCCTTTTTCAGCGCCAACGACTCGTCCCGCGCCCTTTCCGCGGACGCCTTCCGCACGGCGGCTGCTGCCGCCGCCTCCCCCGCTCCCACAGGCGTGCGCACGGTCTGCGCAGCTGCCGTCTCCTCCGGTTCCGCCTTCCCCTGCAGCAACGCGGCGAGGCGTTGGCGCTCCTCCAGCGCCGCCTGCAGCTCCTGTCGCAGCTGCGCCAGCCGAATCTCATTCTCGCTCAACGCCGCCTTGCTCTTCCGCCTCCTCTCCCCCCCCGATACCCCCGCAGCCGCTGAATCCTCCTCCGCGTCTCCGTCACCTTTAGTCTTCTTGATCTTCTTGTCCTTAGCTCCACTGCTGCTGCTCGCGCGGGTGCGTCGGCGAATGGGGTCGGTTTTCTCAACAGCGCTGCCGTTGCCCTCGTCAGTAGCATCCTTGCGAGCCCTGGCCGGGCGGCCGGGCTTGGCAGTTGCTGCGGGGAGGTCTTCCGCGCGGCTGGAGGCGGTGGAAATGCTAGCGCCGTCGCGACGGGGGGTGGGGTTGCTGCTGCCGCACTGAACCGATGGGATTTGGGCCACTCGAGACAAAGAAGCTGGCGGACCATGGGAATGATCATGGGACAAGTGTGAAACGTAAGAATGGTTCTTCAGCATAGGAAATATCGCAGGGAAGAAATTCAACGGAGACCAGAGAGAAGCATAAGGGAAGGGTGAAGAGAGGTGAGAGCTCACGTGAATGTTCGAAATGCTGAAATGAGAAGGAGGTGAAAGTCATCCGAGGCAGAGTTACAAAGAGCTGGACATGAATTGACCAACCTGGAGCCCATCTGCTGGTGCGACATAGGAGAGTGCTGCTGGCCCAGCCAACATTCGCCTGAAGCTTACAGGGCCTGCGAGACTGAAAACGAATAATCCAGACAAAGGCTGTAAGCATATAAATCCATTCACAGATGCAGTAAATGCAATCAGAGCAATCAACCAGCAATGTTTGTTTCTCTACATAAATAAAACAGTCTCAGTCAGCGGTGTCTGAATTAACTCATTTGATTTGTTTACTGGTAAGGGAAATTGAGACGTACAGTGGTTAGGGAGGTCACTGCAACTGTGCATGTATTGCCCAACGACGCCATTCCGACGGTACTAGCCATTGCCGCAATCCGAGGACCAAAGTGCTGAAACAAAATAAGAGCTTTTCGCTGGCTACTGCTTTGAGGCTTAGACTACCGAAAGATTCAGCACCTTCATGCTCGGGGCGGGGCCATGGACAGTAAGGAACAGCTGGTAGGGATTTGAATAAAAGCGAATGCGGAAAGCACAAAGAATGGTTTCCGGTGGTGGACGCGGGGGGAGGCTGGTGAAGGCCAAGCGGAAAGGCGTGCAGCCAAGAAGCTCAACCAGCCTCACAGAAAGGCTTGGGAAGACCAGGCAAGGCTTGGTGGCACGTGGCACCACGACATGCAACCCGCTCCATTGGCTCCCAACGAGAGTCATCCGATCTCAGCGCGTGAAGGAATGCCATATAGGCTGGTACGGGAACAATCTGGGCGCCCTGTCATGTGGTTTTGAGCTGTAGTTGTGACAGCCTGGAGGTTTGTCCTTTGGGTTCTCCTTGGACGTGTGGTCTGGATGATGCAATACATTTTCCAGCACATCAACGCCCCGTGTCCATAGGATGTGAGGTGGACCACTCTGCCAACACCAGCCTTCACACGCGTTTCAGCAGAATTTCACTTTTAACAATATGTAACATGTCCCACCGAAAAACATGTTGCGACCACTTTTCGAAATGTGTAACTCGCATTCTTGTAACACCCGCTTTCTTGTTCAAGACAGGTGCTTGGTTGGATATGTTCTAGGCTCTCTGCCGCAACGTGATTGGTCGTGCCATTTGCGCTGCGCCTTTTCGCTGACACTGGATCTCTTTGCTGACGGCACTGCGCACCCGCCCCTCCCTCCCACTGTTCCGCACTCCGCTGACCCCCTGCAGCACCCCCGTGACCCCGCGTAAATCTGCACCTCCGCCTTCCCTGCTGCTGTCGTCCGCGCCCTCTGTGACGCTCTCCCCCCCCACCCTTGCTCTGGTGCGCGCATGCACAGCTTCATTCATGCATGCCTCCCTCACTCTTCTTCTCTTAACTATTTTCCTAGAGTAGTGGAGTACTGCAGAAGTAGAATACTTGTGCATTAGAGGATGGTTTAGCAAATTTCCACCACGTCTGCCGGCTTTCACCGCCGCTCCTATGGCTTATGTTCGATTCGTTATGTAATCCGTTGAATTTGTCCGCGACTTATAAACTAACTGCGTGCGGATCTTTTTCAACACGTTAGTGTGTCTGAGTTGGTAGGCAGCCATGGGAGCGGGCTCGAGTCAACCCGCGCATCAGCAGCATCGTCGGTCGCAGCCAGCCAGGCCGCCGCAGTACTACCCGCCCGTACCCTACTCCGTCCCCGCAGGCGCCGTTCCGCAAGCCCCGTACGGCCATGCGCCGTATCCCTACGGATACGCGTACCACCCGCAGGCCGGCGGCGGAGTGTCTCCCTCTTCGTGGCAGCACAACCCGCACTATCCGCATCCTCCGCCCGCCGCGCCGTGGTACGGCGGATATCCCGGGCACGCGCCACCGCCATACCAGGTCCCGGTTCCGCCGATGATGCCGGCGCCGCCTCCGCCGGTAGTAGCGGAGCCGCAGCAAGCGGTGACGATAAGGAACGAGGTGAACGTGAAGCGCAGCTCGCTGCGACTGCTGCGCGACCCCGCAGATCCCAGCAAGCACCTTGTCGCCTTCACCTTCGATGCCACCACCAGCGGCAGGTTCGTTGCGATACTCGATCTCTAGTCTCCACGCGAATTGATTATGTTTCGTGACGTCACCACGCAAATTGGTTATGTCCCGTTACGTTTGTTGAAGTCAGTTTGTCAACTTTTTGTAACTCGTCGTTTGCGTTGGCCATCCCCCCGGTACGCGTGCAGTGTGAGCGTGTTCTTCGCGGCGCAGGAGGGCGAGGGGTGCAGCCTCAGGGGGGTGTATCCGCACGTGCACACGCCAAAGGTCGTGCGATTCGCCAAGGGTCTCGGTCAGAAGTTCGTGCAGCCGTCAGGCACGGGCGTCGACCTCTCGGTTATCCCAGAAGAGCATCTCTTTAGGGTTTCAAGCCCCAGCCCCGTGTATCCGCTCGTTATTCGCACCCGCGTCGAGCCCAGAAGCTCGAAATCCGCGACAGTAGCATCGCCGAATAGTAGCGCTAGCAGCGGTGTCAGTAACGTTCAGTCCAGCGCGCCCGCGAGCGCGTCGTCGTCAGAGCCGTGTTCTGTCGGCAGCCATGGCGTAGAATCGTGCGACTCGGATCCAGGCGCTCCGCTGCCCCCGTCGGTGCAGTCTCAGATGACCTACGCTGTGCTCGAGAAGGCCGCTGTAGCGCGTACGGAGAAAGAGGGTGAAGGGGAGACGGCGGAGGGCGATAAGGGGAAGGGCACAGGGGAGCTGCCCGGGCTATTCGTGGTGCGGCCGGTGAAGCAGAAGATCTGGGTGGACGGCACCAGCTACGAGGTGCAGGTGCGTGCGCGCGTGGGGGCAATACTCTCATGCTTGCACCACTCCACTCCCCTCGACCTTTTGCTCACCAATTTCCCGTCCTTGCATTCACCCACCACCCATCCTTGTACATCACCTCCACACTCACCTCCCCCTCCCCCCCATCCCCCCCTCTCCCCCCACCTCCTCCTCTTCCCTCCATTGCTGCCTGGGTTGGTTGTGTGTTAATCCGTTGTCGGCCGTCCGTGCAGGAGATCTACGGCATCGAGCAGTGCGGGCGGGCCAACCCGGGCAGGAGCAAAAAGGGCGAGGCAGAGGGAGCGGGGGGTCAGGGGTCGGCATTGAGCGACGAGGAGGAGGAGGAGGAGGACGAGGTGGCGGGCAAGGAGTGTGTGATCTGCATGTCCGCGCCCAGAGACACCACCGTGCTGCCCTGCCGCCACATGGTACCCCTTCACTCTCCATATTCGCTGCACCATCTTTTGTTGCTTTGATCATTGCATTCATTAAACCTTTATTCAATTCATCTTGGATTTGCAGTTGTGCAAACTTGCGTGTGCTTCCCTCGCGGTACTCCCCCTTCCTCCCCCCCCCCCCCCCCCCCCCTCCCCACTCGTCCAACACCCCCACCGACCCATACCCTCGCAGTGCATGTGTGCGGACTGTGCCAAGGTGCTGCGGTACCAGACCAACAAGTGCCCCATCTGCCGCCAGCCCGTGCAATCATTGCTCGAAATCCGAGTGCCGCCCAGGCTACCCTCGCTGGACGGGCCCGAGCCGACCTCCCCTGAGGCGCAGGGAGAAGCAGCGGCGGAGAGGCAGGGGCATGCAGAGGCATGTGCAGGGCCTCCACTGGCAGGGTCGGACCGCCGTGCCGATCCTAGGTCTGCAGCGGCTCATGCGGGCAGTGGTGCTGCTGAGGAAGGTGGTTCCCGGGGGCATGGTGAGGCGAGCAGAGGTGTGGATTCAGCTGCAGGGAGGAGCGCAGGTGTGAGGGGCGGTGGTGGTGGAGAGGGGTTGGGTGGCAGTGATGATGTGGCGGGGTTGGCTGATCAAGTAGACTCGCTTCTGTTGGGTACAGGTAGAGGCAGATGATTGTGCTGACTTACAGAGGCTACACTGTGTTTTCCTGCATTGTTCATATGCATGAAACAACCTTTGCAGGAGGAAGCAAATTTCTACAAGTTACGGGACATGAGTTGCCCATGGGCTGTAGTTATGCCATAAGATAACTACATCTTGGAACAACCAGGATACATGAACTAGAATTGCAGTGGTGCGCCTATATAGTGAACGTCATTCATCACTCATCCAGCCTTACCATTTTCTCGCAGGTGACCACTGACCATTCCGTTGCATCCTCAATCACTCCATCCTCCGCAGCATTTCTCCTCGTTTTAGCAGCAGATACATTGATCTCGGATGTGCTGTTCCTTTTGTAGCCGTTTCCAGGAAGGGAAAAGTCGCCAATTTGGGGCCTCGTGTGTCGCAAGGAGTCGAGCCTGGGCCGGACCTGTACCCAACCAATTTCGAGCCTCATCCACGCGCTCTGTCAGAGCTAGCCACACAAGGTGACGAATTCTTCCTTGACGACAAAGAAAGTTTTGACTCGACATATAAAAATTGACGAATTTTCCTCTCCTGCGTCATGCCTTCGAAGGGTCCTCAGCCCTGAACATCTTGCCGCATGGTGTTTAGGGTTGATGCTTCCCCAATTATATGCCATCCGAATGGGGTTATTTTTTGTACCATTGCGATGTTGAAACTTTGGGGTTAAAAAAAATGTTTTTCTGGGCAATTCTTGATGACGGGTAACTAGCTAATTCCGTCAAACCCAGGCCAGTAGGTGGTGACCTGGCGAGAAGGCCAGGCTCGGCCTAACTGCCCAGGTGTGTTGGTTGCTTCGGGGCTACGTATTAGGGGCGCGAATCTAGAGGCCCCAAGTCGGCCACTTTACTGCTACTCCGGGGTCCCTTTCTGATCTTTTCCTTCGTATCGAAATGATGATTGCACAGCCATTCACCCCCCCAGAGCACACAACAGGCGCAGACTGTCGCGTTGCGCCTTGAGGGAGAAACCAGAGCATGACAAGTGTACAGTAGCCATCAGCCGAGCCCAGCCCAGTCCAGCCCACACAAACCCCACACCAACTAACCGACCCCCTCGCACTCGCACAGCCGATGATTTTGACTGTCAGCCTCGTGGCGCGGGGGGAGACAGCTGAGCTTGTCCGCCAGCCAGCCCAACAACCACCACTCCTTCCCCGCCCGCGCCACCCCCATTCACACCCTCCCTCCCCTACCCATTCCCCGAAGGTCCTACATTACCTCCGCTTATCACTTACCTTCCACCCGCTTCTGGCGCAAGTGCTATTTTTGTTGTGCAAATTCCGCTCTCCGTTGGCCCAAGAACGATGCAGACCGCACCAGCGGCGCCACGCAGTACAGCCGTTGTAGCTATGTTCGCCCGTTAGCTATGTTCACATGTTAGCTCTTCGCTACCTCCACTTCTCGTTCGTGCCCGTGCGATGCCTAGCCATGTCCATTGAAACACCTAGACGGTTTCCGCTTAGCACCTACTTTCGGCACACTCACTCTCCTCCTTCGGTGCATTTGATCGAGTCGCGGCCCTAGACTCGCGTAACGTCTCGACCAGCCGACAATAAAGTACTTATTTATGCGATCTTCACCGTGCCTCTTATTTCACACCTCGACAACGTCGTTCAATCCGTCGGCATGCAGTCTGGCCGCGCTGCGAGATCTCATTCCACGTGTCGAAATGCCGTTGCTCGGAGACATATCCACCTCAGCGCATTCATTCCTAAACAAAATCCGCATTTACGCAGCAAGAAAACAACGCGCTTGTCTTTAGCACAATGTCTACTGCCGCTGCTGCTCTCTCTAGTCCTACCGTTCGCGCCGGGAGCAGCGGCGCAGGGCAGGCCAGATGCCGTGGCGAAGCTACCCGGTCAGCCGGCAAGCGCGCCCAAGTTCAACCAGTCAGCCGGCTACATAACGGTGGACGGGCGGAAGGCGTACTTCTACTGGCTCGTGGAGGCCATCGGGCAGCCCGACTCGAAGCCGCTGCTGCTCTGGCTCAACGGCGGTGAGCTTCCAGGAAGCACTCTACCGCGATGCATTACAGAACGCAACGGCGGTGCCTTATAGGACGACCCTTAACGGCGTTGGCTGGTGAAACCTTCTGATGATTCCCCAGCAGCCGATAATCCCCCCTGCAGCCGCAGTGTCCGATTCCGCACTCTCGTTGAGGACGGCTAGCGTCTATTCCTCTCTCCCGGTTAGAACGGCACATATTGAGTCAGGCTTGTAGGAAGCAAGCCTGCGGGTAACTTCGTCCTTACCCGCACGAGCATCCGGGGATTCCTGGGTCTACCCGTCCCCTCTCCACCTTGTCCGGCAAATTTACGTTTCCCCCTTCCTCTCCCCACTATTTCCCTGCCTCCGCATGTCCGCCTCTCCCCCTCTCCGCGCGCGCCGCAGGTCCGGGGTGTTCATCCGTGGGGTGCGGGCTGTTCGAGGAGGTGGGGCCGTGGCGCGTGGCGTCCAAGGCGGGCGCCGCGCTGCTCTACAACAAATACGCCTGGAACCGACGTCAGCGCCCTCCCCGCCCTCCTCCCTCCCCCCGCGCTCGCGGCTTCCTCCCCTTTCTCCGCTCCCACCGCTCTCTCGCATTCGGTTTCCTTGCCACTCATCGCTTTCTCATCCGCCCCCAACATCCGCTGCGCACCCGCTTACATGCCACTGCAACCACTCGCTTCGCACCCCACTCCCACACTCGTGCTCTCCGTGCTGCTCCGCGCCTCCCGCGCTCACCTCCTCCTCCCCTCCTCCGTGCTTCCCCCCCTTCCCGCCGTTCCTCGCCGTGTTACCCGCGCGCGCAGTGGTGAACATAGTATTCCTCGAGTCGCCCGTGGGCGTGGGATACTCCTATTCCAATGACACGTCAGACTACACCACCGACGACGAACAGACAGGTACTCGCACGTCCCTAGTCTCATGCAATGTGTGCGCTCGTGCGCGCTAGCTCCGCTCCGCGTCATCAACAACCCGCGGTGCCGCCTTCCTCGGCGGTTTCGCACATGCCTCTTCTTTTTCCCTGGGATCCCTTTCCCTTCGTCCCTGCACCCCGTCTGCCCCCTCACCGCCGCCCCTTCGCTCCCCCCGCTCCCCCCTTCCCCCCGCAGCGAAGGACAACCACGCGTTCCTGGTGGGGTTCGTGGCGCGGCACCCGCGGTACGCGGGGAGAGAGTTCTACATCGCAGGGGAGAGCTACGCGGGTAAGGGGGAGAGCTACGCGGGTAAGGGGGAGAGCTACGCGGGTAAGGGGGAGAGCTGCGGGGGTAAGGGGGAGAGCTGCGGGGGTAAGGGGGGGAGCTACGGGGGTAAGGGGGGGAGCTACGCGGGTAAGGGGGAGAGCTGTGCGGGTAAGGGGGAGAGCTACGCGGGTAAGGGGGAGAGATGCGCGGGCAAGGGGGGTATTGGGGGGAGAAAGCAGTGACTTGGTGCGGTCGTGTGTGCTCCCTCAGGTCGGGGCCCCCTGTGTCCGTCTCACTCACACCCCATGCCGTCCCCACTCGCCATGCTCCCCTCTCACCCTTCCCACCCGGTCTCGTTTTCCGCAGGCCACTACATTCCGCAGCTCGCCGCCCGCATCATCGAGCAGAATCAGATCCAGGGCGGCACGCGGCTGAACTTGGACTTCTCGGGGATTTTCCTGGGCAACCCGTTTGTGAACTATGCTCATGACACCAAGGCAAGCTCATGACAGTATGGCAAGCTCATGACAGCAAGGCAAGCGCATGAGAGCAAGGCAAGCGCATGAGAGCAAGGCAAGCCGTTGGCTGCTCCTCTCAGTGGCGTGGTGGTTGGGGGACGTGGAGAACTAACTTGCGGTGTCGTAGCTTCGCTTGTGCTTGCGTTGCGACCAGCCCGGCGTCCCTCATCTCGTCTCGCCCTGCGCGGCGCCCATGCCACATGCACACTAGTTTATGGGTGATGGCGCCATGCACACACCCCAACCATGCCCCACCCGCCCCCCCGCCTTGCCCCCTGGTGGTGGTGGCAGGGGCCCATCCAGTTCTTCTACGACCACGGCATGCTCAGCACCGACCTCTACAACCACGCCATCAACGTGCGCCCCCCCCCGCCCCCTCCCCCTCCCTCCCCCGCCCTTCCTTCGCCCCCACCCCCGCCCCTCCCTCCGCTCCTCGCCCCACCGCTCGCTTTCAAAGCCACTCTTAAACGTTGCCATGCCGTGCTGTACCGTGCCGTGCCGTGCCGTGCCGTGCCGTGCCGTGCACCACTGCATGTGCCCACCACTGTATTGTCGCCTCTGTGCCCCCACCACTCTCCTCCTGCACCACCCCACCTCTGCCTCTCCCCCATACCCCCCTCCGTGCGTGTCCCTCCGCTCTTGTGTGCGTGTGCGTGTGCGTGCGCGTGCACGTGTGCGTGTGCGTGTGCGTGTGTGTGTGCACCACCCCACCTCTGTCTCTCCCCCATACCCCCCTCCGTGTGTGTCCCTCCGCTCTTGTGTGCGTGTGTGTGTGCGTGCGCGTGCGCGTGTGCGTGTGCGTGTGCGTGTGCGTGTGTGTGTGCACCACCCCTGGCAGTGCGACTTCACATACGGCGCCCCCAACCTGGAGTGCCGCTACCACATCAACTCCGCCTTCTCGCCCTGGGTGCGTGCCATGCCATGCCATGCCTCGCTGCTTGCTTGCTTGCGCCCTTCCCTTTCCCCTTCCCACACCTCTCTCTCACACTCGCCTGTAGAATTGTGGCTCATGGTTGGCTGCACCTCTATTCCTCCCCCCATTCATCACACTCCGTGTGCCTCTCTGCTGTCTTGTTGTGCCATGTGCGTGCACGGTATGGCATGGCACGGCATGGCATGGCACGGCATGGGACGGCATGGCATGGCATGGCATGGGACGGTCGGGTCTGCTGTGCCCTCATCAGTACGAGCCCATCGACCCCTATAGTAAGCACCCGCACCATTACCATCACCACGTCTCTTGTGCTGTCTCATCACCACGTCTCTTGTGCTGTCTCATCACCACGTCTCTTGTGCTGTCTCATCACCACGTCTCTTGTGCTGTCTCATCACCACGTCTCTTGTGCTGTCTCATCGCACCCTCGTTTCTCTCCACGCACACCACACGCTCCTCAAACGCCTCCTGTCCTCTCACCCCCTCTCTCCTGCTCGCACCTCCTCTCACCTCGTGATACGTCCTCACGGCTCCTCTCACCTACTCGCACCTCTTCTCCCTTCCTCCTATCCCACCATCCCCCGTACCACCTCTCCCCCCCAGACATCTACGCGCCCTACTGCCTGGCGGACATCGCATCGGCGCGCCTGTCCGCCTCGGCACGAATGAACCCGCGCCTGCGCTACTCCATCGCCGCGCTGCAGGCCGCCATACAGCAGCAGCAGCAGGCAGCGCAAGCACAGGCGGCCGCAGGGATCGGGGAGTTGGCGGCGCCGAGGGGTGCGGGGAGCAGTGGCAAGGCGATGGATCCGCTGGACAGCCCGGCGTGCATGGACGCGTGGGTGCAGCGCTACCTGCGCTCGCCCGCCGTCTACAGGACCCTCCGTGCGCCCGCTGTCCGCGCCTCCCAGTGGAGCCTCTGCTCGTAAGACCAGCGGGTGGGCAGGCAGGTGGTTGGTGGGTGGGTGGGTGGGTGGCAGGCGCAGTGGTGTTGATAGCATGCCTGCAACTTGCCTCTTTTGGCCCCCACTTCAACTCATGCCATCCTCATCGCTCCTCACTCTCATACCCTCCCCACACACCCGTTCCCTCCTCACTCCCCTTTCTCTTCCATTCATGCCCTTTCCCTTCCCTTCCCTCTCCACCCCAACAGCAACGGCATAGACTACAGCGCGGCCAACCAGGGCAGCGACATCATCCCCACCATCGCGGCGCTGCTGGACCAGCCCATCCGCTTCTGGATCTTCGCGTACGCCCCCCTGCCCCTCCCCCCTCACCCCATGCCCACCGCCCTGCACCCCGTGCCTCCCCACCTCGCGCCCCTGCTCCGTTGGCCCTCCCCCCATGTCTGCACCGCCTTTGCACAGCTCCTGCACCCCTCATCCTTCCATGCCACGTGGCTCGCCGCTCAGCCATTCCCCATGCACGCGCCTCTCACCGGCACCTCATCGCGTCTTTGCTGCCCGCCCTGCGCTGCGATGCCCCTCTCCCCTGCGCGTCTCCGCCCTCGTGTCTCTCCCCCTGTGCGTGTGATGGCAGGGGTGATGCGGACAGTGTGGTACCGTTCACGGGCACGCGCGTGTGGATAGAGGCGCTGGGGCTGCCAGTGCTGCAGCCGCACTACCCCTGGCTCATGCCCTCGGGCCAGGTGCGTGCTGCACTGCACTGCTCTACTATACCGCACCGCTTGTGTTAGGCAAACCTGGGGTGGCCCCTAGCTTCAGTTACAGGTCTGCATGCACCGCAGCGCTCTCTGCCTGCCACATTCTTGTCTATCCCACCTTCATTCTTGCCGCCCGCACGCCCTCTAATCGTGCTTCACCCCACGTGCTCGTATCCATCCCATGGGCATGTGTGTGAATATGTGTGCGTGCAGGTGGGCGGGTGGGCGACGAGGTACGACAAGCTGACATGGGTGACGGTGAGGGGGGCGGGCCACCAGGTGCCAACAGGCAAGCCCGAGGAGGCGTTTGTGCTCTTCCAGTCCTTCCTCCTCGCGCAGGACCCCCCCAGCACTGCTCAGTGGTGATCGCCCCACCACTGCAGTGTACACGTGCTTGCAATGAGTCGCTTTGTAATGTATTTATTCAAATTATTTTGTTCTTCCACTGGATCAGGCACCACTCAGTGGTGCAGCAAACAGAGAGTGCAGTCTGCTGCCCACAGGGGCTCTGCCTGCATAGTGGCTGTTTCACAGGCACTCTCCAACCTTGTTTACTGTAGCCACGCACACTGCTGTGAGTGAGATCACGGCACCTCATGCACTTGATACCGTCATCGCCCGGATATAAGACAGTGTTGAATAGTAGACAGGGGTTATCTATTATACGGGTGTTTCTTATAAACATGCTAGCCTTTTTATACGACACCTATTTGTGTGTACGAGATAAGACATATGTTTTATAATCGAAACTGCAATATATTATAGTGAGAATTGAAATACCGCGTACATTTTTAACCTTGCGACACGCGAATTCTGCAACGTGCTGACTCACATACTACCAAATTTGCCTCTGCAAGTATTCTCCATGACGTGGCGTCCCGAACAATGGTTGCCGAAGTGGCACCTTCGAACATCCACTCTCATAACGAGAAACTCTTTTCCAGATGTGTGAAAATATTTCTTAGTTTAAAAAAGTTTCCATTTATAAGACTTATAAGACACCCAAAACCTTCCCAAATACAAGATAACCCAAGCATTTTTTTAGTGTATGAGATAAGACATATATGTCTTATATCCGGGCGATGACGGTATGGAACAGTGAAGTGGCTACCACAACAAGGAATATAGCACTCGCCCCCTGAAATGGTCCTTCACCTTATCAGCCTTGCTAACCCCCTTTCATTTAGGGGATGGTAAAGAGCAATGCAGGGTTCTAGGTGTGTCTACGACAGCTGGTGCTGCTCAGCTTGTGACCGCCCCTCACTCACCTCATCTTCCTTTTCCCCTGCAGCACTCGCCCCCACCCCTTTCCTCCTCTCAGCCCGTCGTCTTATCCTCTCAGCAGCCCTCTCCGCCTTCTCCCCTCCCGGCCCCCCGACCGCCCCCCACCGCTCAAACTGCCGCTGCCTGGCGCGCGCACGCTCCTTCTCCTCCTCACTCTTACTGCCATGGCAGTGCGGGCACGACACACCCGCCTCCCACAGCGGGGACAGCCGGTCAGCCTCATCCACGGGCTGCTGGCAGGCGTAGCAGAGCGAGTAGGTGGCGGTGGGGAGCATGCCGTGGCCCACGGCCACGCGCTTGTCAAACACAAAGCACTCGCCGCGCCACAGGCTGTCCGCGGGGGGCACTTCTGCTAGGTAGCGCAGGATGCCCCCGTCCAGGTGGAACACCCGCTCCTGGAAGAGAGGTGGGGAGGTTGATGGGGGAAGAGTGATGGGTGTGTGTGAGGGGCTTTGAGAGGGTTGTACTCTTGTACATGCTTTCACAAGGTCTTGGCGAATCAGGGAAAAGGACAGGCAGCCAGGCAGGCAGTGGGCCGGGCAGAGGGACGGGTAGCGGTGGGGGGAGAGCGGGGCGGGGGGCACCTGGGGGAAGCCGAGGTGCAGCATGTAGGCGGTGGCCTTCTCACAGCGGATGCCCCCCGTGCAGTACATTGCCACCCGGGGGAGCGATGCGGACTCGGACGGCGAGGCTTGGGAAGACTCAGGGGACTCGGGAGTAGACGCGGAGTCAGGGGGAGTGGTGGAGGCGGAGGAGGCGGAAGGTGGGGAGGGAGGCGCGGAGGAGTTGGGGGGCGAGGGCGGGAGGGGGAGGTGGTTGTGGACCCAGGCAGGGAACTGGCGGAAGGAGCGTGTGTTGGGGTCGGTGGCGCGGTGGAAGGCGCCTATGCGCGTCTCGTAGTCGTTGCGCACATCCACCACCACCTGGGGGCGGGTTCATTGTGGGGGGTTGGAGAAGGGGGATTGGCGGGAATGGGTTTAGGGGAACTGGGAGGGAGGTGGGGGTGGAGAGGGGTGCGGAAGGAGGGGGCTCTGTGGTGGGAGGGTAGGGGGGTGGTGAGACATGAGGTCATGAGGACACGGGAAAGGCAGCCGTGTGGAGTGAGAGACGGCAATGCAGGCAACGCGGGGGGAGCAGGGGGTGCGGGGAAAGCAGCAGGCGCGTGGGGAGCAGCGGGCGCGGCGACTGACCGTGGTGGGATCGGAGATGAGGTCGTTCCACTCGCGCGGACTCACGTACGTGCCCACGCCATCCGCTGGGTTCACCTCCGGCATCCCCAGTGTCACTATCTGCCCGCCACAGTGCCAACGGGGGCGGAGGGGTACGGGAAAGAATGGGGGAGAACGGAAGGGAAGGTGGGGAAGGGAGAGGGGGAGGAGGCAGCGTGTGATGAGGGAGGAATGGGATCGAGCGCTGGCTGTGTCGCGCTGCGAGTGTGCGCGTCGCGCAGTTAGCCCCGCCACGATGCACCAAGCAAATCCTTTTCCTGTGCGCCCTCTCCCTGCCCTTTCCCCCTCCTCCCTGTCCCCCTTGCGCGCACCTCCTGCTTCACTTTGACGCGCACGTGGTTCCATCGGAACGGCGCGTCTCGCCCCGCCGCCAGCGGGGAACACTCCGACTGCCCGTCCACCGCTTCCGCCTCCGCTCCCCCTTCCTCCCGCTCCTCCACCTCCATTGCCTCCGCTGCGCGGTGCACCTCTCTCTCCTCCGCGCCCGCCGGCTGCACGGTGGTGCGCAGCCCCGCCAGCCGCGCATCGGCGCGCAGCCAGTCAATGACGGCATCGGCGGCGTCGGGCGTGCCGCAGATGCTGCCGTTGATGCCCTCGCGCGCGACGATTACGCCGCCCGACACGCGGTGCTGGCGGCACACCTGCTCGAGCGGGCGCTTAAGCGCGTCGCACTCGTCCAGCTGCGCGAACTTGTAGAACGATATCACCACCAGACTGCTCCCGCCATGGCTGCTTCTGCTGCTGCTGCTGCTGCAGCTATTAACGCTCGCGCCGCTGGACGTTCTGTCAAGCTTACGTAGTTCCACGCTAACGTCAGCCTGGCGCGATTCCGCTGGTTCTGCTTGTTCTGTGCTAAAGCCTTCTCCCTCGGCGCCGACCTTGCCAAAACCCTCTCCCCCGTGCGCCATGGCACACGGCCGTCTTTTGCCCAATGTGTCTGTTCCACTCTGCAAAATTATCCTTGGAATCTGGAAATGAGAAATGCGTATCTTGCGTTCGGCTATCGTTGAAACCAAACAGCCAAAATTGGCTGCTGGAGGCCACCCCGATCCCGCTAGTTGCGGCGACAGCAGCGTGTGACGCCCGCGAGAGGCGCAAAGCGCAACAGATACCCTCAGTTGAGGAGAGAGAGCGACGGTCGGATGCACCATGTCCCCCAGATTCGGCTCGCCGAGCCGCGCAAGGGATACCACAGACACTGGCGCGAAGCGAGCGTGGACGAGGCGATATGATTGTTCGCAAGATGTACCGCTGTCGCGGGGCGCTGCAGAATGGTGAATGCCGTGAATAGCGGATCGTGAACCTAACTGCGAAGCGAAAGCGGCAACGATGGAGGATGCCAGGACTCGAATTCGTGCGGTGACTACGGACACGACTGGAGTCCGGATGCTCGTTATGGACGTCACCCAAGGTGCACTAAGGCTGTCACCTAAAGTCCTGGACGCGACGGACATTTACAAACGCGACGAGCACGCATGGCAAAGGTAGTCTGGTGAGGTGATACTAAAAACATCAGGGGCAGCAGCTCTTCGGTTGTTGGTTTGGGGAAGAAAGGCGGTTCCATATGGATTTGCAAAGAGGCGCAAGATGTCTCTGACAACATGGGGATTGGTCAGAGATTTCCAGCACAGCGATGGCAGATTTGCGCGTTTGTATCAGGGTGCATGATTTCATATAGGGTGAGGGGATCACTTTTCGACATACACGAAACTTTATTCTACTTCCCGAGCCACGTTTGATCAGCCCAAGCATCACGGTGTTTCGATCGTGTGTGGTCTTGCGGGGGCTCCCTGCTGGGCCACGAACCTCACAAATCAAGCCGCACCTCGATGTGACGCTCGGCAACATCGACGCCCAGCCGCCGTTCACGAAAGTCCATACCGTCAAAAGATACCAGACGTGGCACGTTTCGGCAACCCATGTCAGCGGCGAAGACGGAGTCGTCTGGTTGGAGTTGCTGGAAATCTCGAACGCCCCGTCACGTCCGTCAAGCTTGAAACCAGCCCTTGGCTGCGCCTCGGGAGCTCCACCGAGTGGCAATGTTTGGGACAAGTGCCTGCAGTGGCATTTGGCTAAAAAGCCCAGTGCAGTCCAGGCTTCAACCCAGTGCAGCTCCAGTTTCAGCTAACTTTATTATTCAGCCGTGACGCAGAGGTTGGGTTCTCTCAAGGTTCAGCACGAACTTGCATTCAGGCGACCTTAGTGGTCCCTCCTAGCATCTTCTGAACCATGCTTTGCATGTGTTAGTGATTCCACGTTTTTTTTTCTTCTTCTCTTTCTCTAGTACCTAGTTCTAGTAATAGTGAAGATGACGAACAAGTGGTTGAAGTCGCTTTTCCGCTGTAAGCCCCAGCCTGCGAAGATTAAGCCTGAGGTGAGGGGTCCTATTAGATTGGACAATCGTCGTATTTCGCGGTATCCTGAGTGTCCTTTCGACTTACAATTTCCTGTATTGTCGTCCTGTTAATACTGACACTGTCTCTGACCGACTACCACAGGAACTCCTCGAGGATGATTTGTACTCTGAAAGCGCATACTCGAAGGACGAAAGTGTAAAAGCAACGAAAAGCTTCAAGTCTCCCGCAACATCTGCCATTTCTGCTCATGAATCATCACCGGTCCAGTCTTCGCGAACAGTTCCGTCCTTCTATATCAATGCAGATGGATCAAAAGCTCGGGTTCCTGCTTCACCATCTGCTTCTCGCTCAGCTGCCAGGTCGCCTTCACCTTGCAGTCGCTCCGCCAATCCAGCATCCCCCTCCACCAAGGAGCCTGGACATGGCTCCGCCTCCCGCTTCACAGCACCTCAGTCACCCTCTACCTCTTGCACCTCTGTTACCATGCCTCCCCCAGCAATTTCTCAAGCCTCAGCCTCGCATGGCCGCTCATATCGCTCAAAGTCTGCTGCTAGATCTGCTGCTGAAGCGTCAACGTGCTCCTCGGGCGTGTCGCTCAAATCTTCTCCCAAGCGGGAATCGAGCGCCGCAACATCTTCATGGTCTGGCCGGCGCATGTACAGCGCCACGAAGAAGCAATCAATAGCACCTGCTATGTCAGCTGAGTCTGCAGCAGCCATCAGGATTCAGACTGTGTATCGTGGTTATCTGGTAAGCTTGATCAACTATGCTGACGCGCAGTGCACATCTCATCTCTAACAAAGAGTTTCTGTTATTCATGGCTTGTCTTGTGTTGAATGGATGTGGCGTCAGGCTCGTAAGGCTCTTCGTGCATTGAAGGGGCTGGTTCGCCTCCAGGCTTTGGTGAGGGGCCATATTGCACGGAAGCAGGCAAAAGCTACCCTTCGCTGCATGCACGCGATCGTTCGTGTTCAGGCTCGGTTCCGTGCCCGTCGGGTTCGGATGTCCAGGTTCGTGTCCCCGCCATCAATAGGAAGCTTAGACCCTGTCAGCCGTCCCATTGTTTTCTGACATAGGCCTTTCCTTGGTGCAGGGAGGGACAACTTGTCCAGCGGCAGTTGGAGAAGATTTCCCGCAAGTATCACCCTGAAGTGGTTCTCAAACGCAACGAGGTATGACTATGTTCACCGAATTCAAGTGTCACGTCATCCAGGAAACTGTCTTGCTTTCTGCGATGTTTGACACTGACTCTCTTTGGTTTCAGGTTGGCTGGTGCGATGCTTCTGGAACCGTAGAGGAGATTCAGGCAAAGCTTCAGAGCAAGCAGGAGGCCATCCTTCGTAGGGAACGTGCTTTAGCATATGCTGATTCTCGCTCGGTAAGTGTAACACAGGGTGAACAGTTCTTGCGTGCTGCTTTTCTCGCAGAACTAACTTCTGTTTTTTCGTTACATTCAGCTTTGGAAGAAGGAGAAGCCTACCCAGCAACGCTCCATGGCATACATTGACTGCGAGCCCGACAAGGGTGGTTGGGGGTGGAGCTGGCTGGAGCGCTGGATGGTCGCGAGGCCGTGGGAGAATCGTCTCATGATGGCGCACTATCAGGCTGTTAACCCCAAAGCCAAACGTCAGGGAGCACTCCGTCTGTTTGAGGCTCAGTTAGTGGAGTCCAAGCCCCACCGCACTGTGGAGCTGGTGGACATGGGCAAGTGCAAGAGCTGCGGCCGCCGTGTCCTTGTCAAGCCCTCCGTGGCACAGGCAGCCAACGCCGCAGCTGCTGCTCAGGCGTCCGCTAATGGCACTGCGCCCTCTAAGGCAATTCCCCACACCTGCAACATCTGTGCCCCCACGGTTTCCTGGGCCGCCAAGGTCGGAGCCCTTCCACCCGCGACCACGACCACTGGCAGCAACCGTGGAGCAACAGCCGCGATGTCTCGGCTGTCGCTTGGAGCTTCGCATGAGCCACAACCCCTTGCAGATGCTGCGATTGGGTCCAGGTCGCTGAGTCGATCTGCTAACCGTTCAGCTTCCAACTCAGGGCCCCATGCACCACTCTCCCCATCAGCATCGTTCAAACGTGCCAGCGCATCGCCACGTATTGTTCCTCACTTCATGGAGACTACTGAGTCCACGCGCGCTAGGACGAGAGCTAACAGCACACCCCGAGGGCGCCAATCTGATGGTTTTGGAAGCAAGCGAGGACCAGCGCCTCAAGAAGCAGGGGGTGTCCTTGCTCCCGTAGTGCTTGGGCCCCAAGCTGAGACATCAGCAGTTCACGAGGAACAGCTATCAGACGCACAACAGTGAGACGCTACACGTGCCTTGGACACACAGATGTCACACCACATTGCAGTTAGCATAGTTTTCTACTGACTTCATAGCAGGGCTGATTTGCTTTATGTGATTTCCCACAGCTTGTATTCCCTTACCTATGTTTCTCACATGCCATTGCACCTTTGTGTCTAGCCGTAATAAGGGTCTCAAATTGCCCAGTTTGGCAGAGGCTATTCTGGGGATAGGCATATAAGCAAATTAGGACTTCAATGAGATTCAGATACTGATTCTTGGATGTCATGCATACGCTGGTATGCTCTAATAAGTGGATATTTAATCTCCAATTTTGTCCACATCACACTTTACCATGGGTCACAACACAAAAGCAGCAGTGTATGGGTGTCAAATACCAAGTATGCTGTAATCCGGATAATGGAGATTTTTTAGTTGCTTATGTTGGGAATATAAACGCATGACTTAGTGCGTTTCTGTAGTATCGAACCTCACCCGATACTGAAGCACAACAAAAGGGGTATGAAGTCGAAAAGGCGCGTACCACATCAAACCGCAACTGGAGGTTGCGAGCTGTAACCGCCTGGAGGTTACGTAACAGCAAGCGACGCTTCAGTGAACAGTAACCACCTCGATAGTCGAAGCGTTACGCGTCTCGATAAACATAACCGCTTCCTGTAATCTATCTTTCCTATATATTCCTGTATGCTCTTTGCTTTAATCAATTACTTGTTCTCACATACCAGCACAAGTACATTCACTCAAGTCTTCCGCTGTGCTACTCTAGCACCTACTAGCCTATTCTCTGCAAAGATCCTAAGGCTGAAATTCTCAGCCCAACAGCTTACATGCGTTATGTTATTTATATTGATATGAGGTGCAGAACCACGCCAGCGCCAGGAAACACACCAGAGTCACTGCAACGTGGGCAGAGGGTGTGTCCACGCCAGCAGCTTTCAGCACCAGCATAATTATTGATTTCAACTCCAACTCTGGTGCAGTTGTCAGCTGACGGAGCGTTCTGTTGGCTGGTCAGCCACCAACTCTCGCGGTGCCAGTTTTGTTTGTCAGTCTGACGAAAAACAGTTTCTCATTGCGCCTCGGTTCGGCATAGATCACTCGCACAGCCGACAAATTAGTCGCTACTGTCGCATGAAGCGCGTGAACCTTCTTCAGTGGTTCGCCGAACTTGCCGTGCCCATCGTCAACGACCGAAATGCGATGACCTCACAAAGCCCAGCTGTCGCCCAAGCCGTGCCACAGACGGTTGTCGTCTACACCGTCGTTTAGCCGTTTGTCGCAATGGAAATCCTCCGTCATCAGTCAGCGCGTTCACGGCAGCACTGAGCCAGGAAGCTTGTCTGGGCGGAAACCTTGTGAGCTGCGCTACGCGCCACCGCGCGTTGCTCCCCTGGCGCTGCCTCCCTCCCATCCCGCCCCACGTGAATCGCAACAATCCCATCCCCTTCGGCCTCCATCCGCCTCCACCTCCGCGCCACCCGCTCCACCCCTGCCGCCAGCCACGCCACTCCCTGGTGCTCGCGGCTCCTACAAATCCACCTGCTGCGAAGTCAGTCGGACGTTCCGAATTCAAGTAACCCCTTCAATACTTCTACTAATCTCCACAGCGATAGCCATAGCGTTCAGCACAGAACGATCCACCATTTTTTAGTCAGTTTGCTTTCAACTAACTCTTAAGCCACGCGATTTATTCATCCAGCTTGTGTCTCTTACAAAGCCATTTCGACCAGTCGGAGTTCTGCCGTCCTTTTGTTGCGATACGCATATCCCTGGCCGACACGATCATCGGGACAATGGCTTCGTCGCGAAAGCCGCTGTCATTATTGATCGCCGTCGTCGCGCTACTAAGCATGCCTTTCGTCAGTCGCGCCATAAGCAAGGTGGACATGCTGCAGGAGCTGGTGGTTTACAGCGAGGACGACGCCTTCACGTTCACGGAGCTCGAAGCGCAGCAGGCGGCCAACGACGAGGAGATCAAAGCCGCCGCCATCGCGAACGCGTTCCACCATCTGTACGGCTCGGAGGACTTCAGCGGCGCGGAGGACGACGATTACGTTTTCGTTTCCTCGACGCGCGAGTCGGAATCAAAGACAATGGCGGTCACCGCAGCGCCAACCATTCTGGACGCCGTGTCGCAAACCTTGTCGAAGCGGTTGAGAGGATTTTTCGGCTGATCGAGCGAGCATCGCGCGGCTGAAGGGAAAATGGCGAGTGATTAACGACACGAGGCAGTATCGCTCATGCTGCCTGATAGTGAACGGGACAAGAAGACAATATCGCCTGACTGAGCTGGCTGCGGCCAGTAATCGCCATACCTAATGTATCATAGTCCTAGTATAATAGGTCATCGCGCACATGCCGCCGAAGGCATGCGTGCAACCATACGACTTGTGCGGCAATTCGCACAAACACTTATACTGGTGCCCTGCGTGACGATGCAATGTGACCGTTATCAATACAAGCACTATGCTAACGACGACCTTGCATGCGTGACTCTCTCTCGTCCACCTTCCTCCTTACCTCAACAACAACCACAGTGAATCCCTAACCATTGTGCTACACCCCGGCAGTCAGATGGCCAAGTAATAATGTGGATTAATACAAATGCGTTGATTATGATGGCAATTACATTGGGAGAAAGGTGGATGGCTTTGACATGCTTTAAGTTACACCATGCACCAAAGCACGCATGGCTGCAGTGATAGCTCAAGACAATCTCGAAGCACGGAAGCAGAGGAGGCGGAAGAGGGAGGCATCTCTGCTTTCACCAGGGAACGCAGTCCCCACCGCTGCCTGCATCGCCCTCTCCACACTCCCCCCAATGCGCTCTGCTACCTCTCCCTCCGCCACCTCTAGCCCCGCTGCTGCCGCTGCAGCCAGCACATCAGGCTCGAGCACCTGGCGTGTGATGTGGCACAGCAGTAGCACCGGCACGCGCCCGCTCCCGTCCCAGCGTGCTAAGAGGCGGGCGGCAGACTGGAAGAGCAGCGGCACAGCGGCACGCACATACACCACGTCGGCTCCCAGGATCACATCAAACCCCCTCCCCTGCTGCGCTGCGGTATAAGCAGCCTCGGTATCGTCTCCCTTCATACTGCTGCCTCCGACAGGGGCTGTGCGCGCATGGCTCCCTTGTGTACTGGCTGTGGTTGCCCCTCCCTCCTCCTGCACATGACCCTCATCCGCCCCAATCACATCATGACAGGGCAGCAGCTGCCTCACTGCTGCCTCGTCACCCTCATCGCCCCACCGCAGCCGGCACACCTTGATCCTGCCCGTCTCAAAGCTCCCCGCATTCAGCTCCAGATTCCCCGACAGCAGGCTGAGAGCGTTCTCGTCCCCATCTGTCGCCACAATGACACGTGGCGTGCTGTGAGTGGCTGCGAGCGAGCAGAGCGCGGCGCCGCCCGCACCGAGCTCGAGGACGGAGGCGTGGTGGGTGAGGGCGGGGTGGGCGAGCAGCAGCGCTGCCAGCACCTGAGACGACTCCCACAGCAGCCGCCCCGTGCTGCCGTGCGTATGCTGGTGCTCGCGGGACAGCAGGCGCACACGCAGTGGCAGGTGCGCGAGGGACAGGGCGTGGTCCTGGGGGGCAATGGGTGGTGGGTTGGGAGACGTTTTCGTGGGGTTAGATAGGCGGAGAGGAGGGAAGGGAAAGGGACAGGAGCGAAAAGGGCGAAGCAGAGAGGGAAAGGAGAGAGGGGAGGAGAGAGGGGAGGGAGGGAGGGGATGAGAGAGGGGAGCGGAGGGAGAGAGAAGCACCTCTAAAGGGGGGTCAGAGAGGAAAAGGCCGCTGCAGTCCACCTCACATGTGATGTCACTGCCGCCCGTGCCGCCCTCCTCCCTGCAGCCCTCCTCCCTGCCGCTCTTCTCCGTGGCACCAGCTCCTTCCCTGCCCCTGCCCTCGCCTTGCACTACACTGCTCCCACTTCCGCTTCTCTCCTCCTCGCCGCCTTCCCTGTCGCTCATCCCTCCTGCCCCAACATCCTCCGCAGCAGTTGCAGAAGCAGCAGAGGGAGCAGAGGGAGCAGAGGGAGCGGCAGTGGCAGCGGGGGGCAGGCGGAAGACTGCTTGGATCCAGCGCCTGGTGGTGCCATCGAGGGGCAGGCAAGAGGAGGGAGTGCGGGGGAGAGCAGTGCGGCGCAGTTGCAGTGGGTGTACAGGAAAGGGGTGTTCCACATACAGAGCAAATGAGGAATGGGTCTTTGTGTGCAAAAGAATGCACAAGCTAATAGAAGCACCTGCCATGTCAGCAGCACCTGCCACGTCAGCAGCACCTGTGCATGTCGATCTGTCGTGCGCGGTTGGTGACGGTGCGCTCACACACGCCCATGTGCACGCACTGCATGCCTGCCCCCGCAAACAGCTCTCCCAGCGCCGCCTCTGTGAAATAGTACGCTCGCTGTTGTGGCCGAGGGGGGGGGGGGGAAGGGCATGGGGCGCAGGGCGCAGGGGGGCATGGGGCGCAAGGGGAGAAGGGGGGAAAAGAGGCAGGGTTGGATGGGAGAGGCATGGAGAGATGAATGAATCCACAGGCACTGTGGCATAGCGTCGCCTTGCCTGCATCAGCTGACCATTCTCCCCCCTCATCATGCCATCCCCCCCACCCACCACACCATCGGCTCCCCCCTCCACTCACGGTGCCATCGCCACGCACATAGAAGTTGTCGGCGATGCGCTGCTCCTTGCGCCTCAACCGCTCCTGTAGGGCACGGCACGGTGGCGTGGCGGGGAGGATGGAGGCAGGGGGATAGAGGGATGCAGCGGATGGTCGCACGACATGGGGACCAAGTGACAATACACACTGACATGGGGACCAAGTGACAATACACACTGACATGGAGTTTCTGACCTTTGACTATGCGGGGCACCTGAGCAACACACCTGAACGCCACACCTAAACCACCCACCTGAGCCAGGTCGCCAGCAGCATAGTCTCGAACCAGCACATGCCCGCCTGGCTGCATGCCATGCCATGCCATGCCATGCCATGCCATGGGGTGCGGTAGGACGGGGCACAGGGCAGGTGTGAGTAAATGAGTGTTGAGGCAGGGAGCAGCAGAAGGCAATGAGAGGGCGAGCGGAAATGCAAAAGCCTCTTGTGAGGGGGCAAGCGGTCACAGCACGACCAGCCAAGAGCATGTGTAGGCGGGCAGGGGGGAGGGGCGAGGGGACCTGCCTTGAGAACAGTGGCCACGTTGGCGACGGCGAGAGGCATCTTCTCAGGTGAAATGGCAGATAGCACAAACACCTGCGCATGGGGTTCGGACCGTGGGGTGGCGGTGGGAAGTAGGGAGGTTAAGGTGAGGTGATGGAAGGTGGGGTGATGGAAGGTGGGGTGATGGAAGGTGGGGTGATGGAAGGTGGGATGATGGAAGGTGGGGTGATGGAAGGTGGGATGATGGAAGGTGGGGTGATGGAAGGTGGGGTGATGGAAGGTGGGGTGATGGAAGGTGGGATGATGGAAGGTGGGGTGATGGAAGGTGGGGTGATGGAAGGTGGGGTGATGGAAGGTGGGATGATGGAAGGTGGGGTGATGGAAGGTGGGATGATGGAAGGTGGGGTGATGGAAGGTGGGGTGATGGAAGGTGGGGTGATGGAAGGTGGGGTGATGGAAGGTGGGGTGATGGAAGGTGGGGTGATGGAAGGTGGGGTGATGGAAGGTGGGGTGATGGAAGGTGGGGTGATGGAAGGTGGGGTGATGGAAGGTGGGGTGATGGAAGGTGGGGTGATGGAAGGTGGGGTGATGGAAGGTGGGGTGATGCCATGCCATGGCATGATGGGAGGAGCCTTGCACCACATTGACATGGCACCCACCATGGTAACCACATGGCACCCACCATGGTAACCACATGGCACCCACCATGGTAACCACATGGCACCCACCATGGTAACCACATGGCACCCACCATGGTAACCACATGGCACCCACCATGGTAACCACATGGCACCCACCATGGTAACCACATGGCACCCACCATGGTAACCACATGGCACCCACCATGGTAACCACATGGCACCCACCATGGTAACCACATGGCACCCACCATGGTAACCACATGGCACCCACCATGGTAACCACATGGCACCCACCATGGTAACCACATGGCACCCACCATGGTAACCACATGGCACCCACCATGGTAACCACATGGCACCCACCATGGTAACCACATGGCACCCACCATGGTAACCACATGGCACCCACCATGGTAACCACATGGCACCCACCATGGTAACCACATGGCACCCACCATGGTAACCACATGGCACCCACCATGGTAACCACATGGCACCCACCATGGTAACCACATGGCACCCACCATGGTAACCACATGGCACCCACCATGGTAACCACATGGCACCCACCATGGTAACCACATGGCACCCACCATGGTAACCACATGGCACCCACCATGGTAACCACATGGCACCCACCATGGTAACCACATGGCACCACCATGGTAACCACATGGCACCCACCATGGTAACCACATGGCACCCACCATGGTAACCACATGGCACCCACCATGGTAACCACATGGCACCCACCATGGTAACCACATGGCACCCACCATGGTAACCACATGGCACCCACCATGGTAACCACATCCACTTGAGATGGAGGAGACACTGCAGGGCACTGCGGCACACAGCTCGTGCACGCACCACCACCACCACCACCACTGCTGCTGCTGCTGCTACTGCTGGTGGTGGCGGTGGCGGTTGCGATGGCAGTGGCGAGGGGGTCCGCTGTGATGTCCGCCACGAATGCTCTCAGCCTGTGCGCGTCGTAGTGCTCACTGCCCTGCCCGCCACCATGCCAGCACGCATGCCGATGAGAAGAGACACGCATACATACACATGCGCACGCACACACACACACACGCAGAGGGAGAGTGAGGGAGCGACACAGAGAGGCTGGCCGTGAGGGTGCTGGCATCAGTGCATGCAGCATGCAAGCACACAGCAAAGCAACATGCGAGCACCACACGCTCACACCTCCCCATCCCCACACCTCCCCCTTTCCACCATCCGCTGCACCCCTCCCCCCACCATGTACACCCATCTCCACCCCTGAACGCACGGTGACGAGCGCAACAGCGCGCGGAGAGAAGTCGCAGGCGAGGGCGAAAAGGTGCGGGTCGTCTGCAAGCAACGGGAACACCGTGTTGCCCGCCCCGCACCCCACCTACCCATCGGGGGGGCACAGAGGGGATGGCGGAGGACAGGGGTAATAGGGAAACATGGGGGAGGGGATTGGGGAAATACAGGGGGAATAAGGGAGCAAGGCGGGGATGGGGGGAGCACAGGGGGATGAGAGGGCGTTGGGTGAGGGGGTAGGGGGTGCATTGGCGGTGAGAAGAGAGGAGTGGCGCGGGAAGGTGAAGGGGCAGCAGGGCACAGGAGAATAGGAGGAGGATGAAGCACAACAACACTGCACCCTGCACGGCCCCCTCCCCACGCCCCACTCCACCTCCCACCTCCCACTCAACACCACTCGCCTCACCTCCAGCACCACTCGTCGGATGGCAACGCACCGCTCGCACACGCACCCCTCCCTGCCGCCGCCACACCCACCACCGCCCCCTGCGCTCCCCGCTCCTGCGCCTGCATCCCCGGCCCTAGCCTCCCCTCCCCCTCCCTCTGCCCCCCCCTCTTTTCCCCCCTCTGTCCCCGCCTCTGCCGCTCTCCCTGTGCCCGCATCCCCGCGGAGGAAGAGCGCCCACTCGTGGTGCAGGTAGTGGCGGTCCTTGAAGAACTGCGCGCAGAGACACGGGGCGACGGCGAGACGGGGAGGAGATGGGGGAAAGGGGAAAAGAGAGTGGGGTGGAGGAGTTGAAACGGAATGAGCAACGCAGAGCAGAGCGAGGGGGGCTTGACAGTGGGGGAGGGAAAGGTTGTGGCAGTGGTGGGGTGAAGGATGCAGTGTGGCAGCGAAGCAAGGCGAGCAGAGTGACAGTGGCAATGGTAGGCACTGTGCACCACGTGGCACGCGCTCACCCGCTCGCCGTTGCGCTTGTAGAAGAGATCCCAGTAGCGACTCGCCTCCCTCTCGTACTTGCCTGCCCCGCGCAGCCCATGGCACACACACATTCACACGAGCACACATCCGCACATGCACGCGTGCACCCATGCATTCATGCGCACAGACAGAGACGAGGGGTGAGGGGCCAGGGACGAGAAGCGGCTGCTCGAGTGGGTGGCGGAGCACCAGCGGACGATCGCGTAACTCCGCGTCTCCCGCGCTGCAACTGCGCGCCCTCACCCCGCCCCATCTCCGCCACTAGGTCCTTCCTTTCTTCGCCCATGGTCCCCCACTGGTACTATCGTGCCTCCTACTCCTCCCTCCACACTGCTCCCGCCCCTCTCTCTTACCTTAAACCCCGAACCCAGAACCTGGAACCCTGACATGGTCATGAATCCAGCTTCCTTGCGTGAGCAACAAATCCGCCACGTCAGCAAATACGGAAACAACGACATTCGCGCACCTCGCATGAAATCAGAGACGCAGTCGGTGTGCTGGGGGTAGATCTGCACACGTGGTGCGGCGCCATTGGGTGCGGATTCCATCGTCGCGGAATAGTCGCGAATCCAGGATGGACTGCTGAGGTCTTCGATTCTACTTCGAATTCTTTCTTTGCATTGTATTTACTCATTTCGAACCATCATTGTAACATGCGTCTGCACCTTCAAATCACGACGTCGCCAAAGCTCGGATGGTCGGTCCGTCGCATCTGCTCTGCTTCTGTTTCTTCTCCTCGCGTTGTCACGTGACATGGAGGGGTAGCCGTTCTGCATGCGTACGGTTCTGTAGGTTCTGTGACCAGATTGCCAGAACATTTGAGTTGTTCCAGTCAGCCACCATTTGCAAATAGGTGAACACACTGTTACTGTACGCGTTCGCTTGTGGATTTCTAGGCGCGAACCACATTCGATTCGACACGACTGGCGCCAAAAGCACAGCCAAGCGTGCAGCTCTCCGTGTCGTGTTTCCCATGGGAGTTGTTGGTTTGGAACGTGTGCGAGCAGGATTGGTGGTGGGTGCAAGCAAAGCGCGCTTGCTTTTCAGGGGTACAGTACCGTGCTTGCTGTGGTGGCGAGCTATAGTCAGCGCGTTCGTTTCATCTTCTCGTTTCGTCCGTTGGCAGCACAACGGGGCGCGTGACGGGAGGGAGTTGAACGACCTCTGCTGTACTGTAGGTTGCCCTTGGTGGGGCCCTGGCGAGGGTGTCTCGAGCTCTGCCTGCCTGCTTCGCGTTCGCCTGCTCGGCCTCATTCCCCGCCCAGGCTGCAATAATCGCAAAACGGCGCCCTTTCTCTCATTTTTTTCGCGACGACGGGAGACATCTGTTCTGCTGTGTTGCCTTGCCACAGGGAGGGCGTCATAATCGCCGCCGATCAATCATGCGCCCCGCACGCCCGGCAATGCACGACAGAGCAAGAGCGGGTGCGTGGTAGGCACGCGTCAATGATTGCTTACTGCGCGCCGCTTCGCAGCCAGAGGACCCGTCGCCGCTGAAAGCAACGACCGCTGCGTGCCATAGCGGGTCACGGTAGCACACGTATCTCTGTTACGGTTGAACGTTAAAAAATCGTTCTCGTCGTGCGAGCGTTGCTGCTGCTCGCGCGCGGACTGACGCGGGGCAGGCAGAATCCGGCAGAAACGAGCTCGTGCACGTGGAGGGCGGAGAGGGCAGGCCGCGTAGGGGAATGGGCCGCCCATTCCCCTACGCGGCGCTGTAGCGCGCACAGCGCAGTGCGTGCGAGCTGCGTCTGCTGCCAAGGCTGCCAGCACTGCTGAATGGGCGCCGGCGCGACTTGCGCTTGCTGCTCCCGTCAGTGGCCAGTCGGTGGCCTAGAATATAGCTACTCTCAAGAACCACCTCGGTATCATCCGTTCACCTCCCTCCTTGCATTCACTCCTCCTCGCAATCACACCTACGTAGTGCATCGACGACGAAGCAGAAGCCATGACGACGCAGTGTGCGGCAGCAGTCAGAAGAGAACCATGGGAGCAGTGCGGCACCGCCGTGAGGGCGGCGGGCATCGCGGACGCCGCAATGCCGTGCGCCATCGACCATTCTCCGCAAACCGCGCTCAGACCGTCGACAGACACTCCGACTGACGCCCTTCTCGCCGGCGACCGCTTGCTGCCGTTCGCGACGGCGCCGCTGGAGGCGGAATACGCGGTGGCGCAGGAGGAGATGGGGCGCGGGGAGTTCGGCGTGGTGCGCGCGTGCATGGCGCGCCGCAGCGGGCAGCTGCTGGCGTGCAATTCGGTGGAGAAGGCGCGCCTGTGCGGGGAGCGGCGCGGCGATCTCGAGATGGAGCTGCTGTGCATGGCGGCGCTGCCGCCGCACCCGCACGTGGTGCGCCTCGCGAGCGTGCATGAGGACGCGCGCCGCGTGCACCTCGTCATGGACCTCTGCGACGGCGGCGACCTCTTCGACCTCGTCGCGCGCGCCGGCCGCCTGCCCGAGCGCTGCGCGGCGGCGGTGCTGGCGCAGGCGGCGAGCGCGGTGGCGTGGTGCCACGCGCACGGCGTGCTGCATCTGGACGTGAAGCCCGAGAACCTCCTCCTCGCCGGTCTCTCCGCCGCGCCGCTGCTCGCGGACGCGCAGAGCGCGGAGGCGGCGCTGGCGCACGTGAGCGTGAAGCTGGCGGACTTCGGGCAGGCGGTGGCTGTGGGCGCGAGGAGCAGGGCGCGCGGGCTGGCGGGATCATCCCTGTACATGGCGCCGGAGGTGGTGTGTGGGCGCGAGTATGACAGTGCGGCGGACATGTGGAGTGTGGGCGTGGTGTTGTATGTGATGCTGGCGGGGTACGTGCCCTTCTACGGCCCCGACCTGCCCCGCGTGTTCCTCGCCATCTGCCGCGGCCACCCCGACCTCACGGGCGAGGCGTGGGAGGGCGTGTCAGACGAGGCGAAGCAGCTCGTGCGGTCGCTGCTGTCCGTGGACCCCGCTGCTCGCCCCTCTGCCTGCGACCTGCTCTCCCACCCCTGGCTTACTGCCCACGTGCCTGCAGCCGCGGCAGCAGCCAAGGCGGCGAGGGATGCGGCGAGTGCGGCTGTGGGGGACGTGCTGGCGCCCCTGGCGTGTGTTGCCCCCTCCGGTGCTTCCACCACCTCTGTCTGCCCCTCCCTCCATGCCGCACCATCGTCATCTTCTCTTCAGTCCACGGCTCACTTGGTTCCCTCCACAGTGCACGAAGCATCTGAATCGTTCTCCATGGATAGCAATTCACTGACCGCAGTGGGAGGCTGCATGGCGCCGCACCTGATGGACAGTGCAGGGAGCAGTGGTGCAGCAAGGAGGCCGGGGAGACGATTGTATCGATCTAGAGTGAAGGCGGCCTTGACAACTATAACTGCTGAAATGCACACTAACTGACATAGCAGCGGCCATTACGTGTACAGCATCTATTTTTACTAATCAAGGAGGCTTGTAGTTTGTAACCAAGCAATTTCCAATATATACTAGTTTCCAGAAGTGAAAAGTGTAAGGTTCTAACATACACAGACCGTGTAAGGGTCATAATATACTCAACAATATTCAGTCTGTGGCCTTCTAAGGGGGCGGCTAGCTCAAAAACATTGGGGGTCGTGCATTTCGCGCACGTGTCGGGCGGACAGTTGGAAATGTCCTCGACGCGCTATTGTGCGAGCCGCCACTCAATGAGGTAATTCACGCCTTCTCCCTCAGAAGTTGTCCTACAAAATTCATCAGTTGCGTGCATTAGCTGTGAATTTCCTTCGTTTCGTCTCAAACCGAGTTCGCTCTATAGCCTGCTGGAAGAGCATTCCTGAATCCTTATCCCGATCTCAGTGCGTCTGGTACGTGAGTCAGTGAAAAACGCGCCTGTAGATTCAATCGCGAACCGTGGACATGGCTTCGCGTCAAGAATCCAAACCCAAGGTACTTGCCAGCCACATGGCTGTTTGCCCGCCGCTCTTGAGCTGGTCCCCTTGCATCCCGTCTCTCACGCCTCTTCATCGCATGTCGATCCATCAGGTGCAGGTGGAGGCGCCGACGGGTCACTACGAGTGCATCAAGCCGGAGGATCAGGCGGCACGGGAGGGGCAGCAGAGGCAGAAGGGGCGCGAGGAAGGCATGCGTGAGGCAAGCCACAAGTGAGTCTCGCATCTCCCCTAGCCAGGTGCAGTCCCGAACTCCTCCATCTGTTCTCAAGCACTTCCGCGTTCATGTCCTGTATATGCCATGCCATGCCAGATGTTATATTTCAAGCACTAAATGATCTGCACATTATACATGGTTCAAGCGGGTTTTGCAGCATTGCATGTAGGCCGTTGCAGACATGTACAAGATATTCGCGCAAAGCAATTTTGGTATGCATAGTTACGGATTGGCTGTCACCTTCCTTGTATGCGCGTGCGATGAGAGCAGGTTGCAGGCATCACATGGCACGGGCAAGTCCCACGCGCACGAGGCAGCCTCTGAGGCGTCAGTGACCGCCCAGCAGCACTCGGCCCAGCGGCAGGGCGCAGAGGCGGCACAGGAGGCACGGTCGGGGCTGACAGGCATGCTGGCGGGCCTTCGAGAAAAGATGGGGCACGCTGGGGAGGCGCTGCTGGGGGGCCCGCACACGGGCACAGAGGAGTCCGCGCAGGCAGCGAGGGAGGGTGCAACCCACACCCGTGCCTCTGCAGGGGTGGCGGCTGGGCGGGGCTATGAGCAGGGCAAGCAGTCGCCAGACACTGCCTCTGCTGCTGCTGCCAGGGGGGCGGGCACAGCGGCTGGCGTGGCGAGGGGTGCTGGGGAGGAGGCAGGGCGAGCAGCAAAGGAGGGCGCTGGGGCAGCAGCACGTGGGGCGGGGACGGTGGCGGGGACAGTGCAGGGGCTGGCGGAGGAGGGGGGGGCTGCGGGGAAGAGGGGCGTGGAGGGGGCAGCGAGGGGGGCAGGGACGGCTGCAGGTGTGGTGCAGGGCGCAGCAGAGGAGGCAGGCAAGGCTCCCAGGGAGGGCAGTCAGGCGGCAGCGAGGGGTGCGGGGACAGTGGCAGGGACAGTGCAGGAGTTGGGGAAGGAGGGGAAGGAGGTGGGCAAGCAGGCAGTGGGGAGTGCGGCGAGGGGGGCGGGCACTGTGGCGGGCACAGTGCAGGCGCTGGGGGAGGAGGGCAGGGAGGTGGGGAAGCAGGCCATAGGCAGCGCTGCAAGGGGCGTGGGGGCAGTGGGAGGGACGGCACAGGCAGTGGGGGAGATGGCGAGTGAGGCAGCGAGTGAGGGGGTGAAGATGGGCGCAAGGGGAGCAGGGGAGGTGTATGGGACAGTGCAGGGTGCTGCTGACGTGGGCAGCCATGTGGCAAGCGATGTGGGGCAGCAGGTGAAGGTATGTGGTGTGCGCTGCATGCTTCCTCTGCACCCCGGCCTCTGCTTCCATTGCTTCCATTCCGGCACCTTCACTCCTCCACTGCATGTACCCTCCACATGCCTCACATGCTCCATACCCTCCTTCGCTTAACTCTCTCATCGTTTTGCTCCGCTGATCCCGTGGTGTGGCAGCAAGGAGCGCAGGCAGCAGCGCAGGGAGCAGCTAGGGGGGTGGGTTCGGCAGCGGGGGTGGTGCAGGGCGCAGGAGAGGCAGCAGGGCGCGCAGCACTAGAGGGCAGGCGGGAGGTGGGGGATGCGGTGGGGGCAGCGGGTGTGGGCACAGGCGAGGCAGCCAGGGGCGTGGTGGGGGGAGCAGCACACGCGGTGGGAACAGCAGCGTCAGCAGTGGGCGGAGGAGCATACGACACGGTGGAGGGCGTGGGGCAGGCCATAGGCGGGCTGGGGCTGACTGTGGCGGGGGGCGTGCAGAGCATGCTGGGGGGGGTGGCGGGGGCAGTGGGGGGGGGAGTGCAGTCGCTGGTGGACTCTGTCAGGGGCGCTCCCCATGCTGTGGGGGAGGCAGTGCAGGGGCACGCGCAGCAGGTGCAGGCAGAGAGGGGATCTGGGGACAGTGGAACCGAGGGGAAGGGCGCGGAGGATGTGATATCGCGGCGGGTGGATGTGGTGGAGGGCATGCGCATGGGCGGGGAGGATATTTCAGGCATCGTTGGTGCTGCAGGTGTGCCAGCGGGTGACATGGAGGGTGTAGAGGGGCCGCGCGTGATAGTGGTGACTGAGGACAAGGTGGTGCGTGAGTAGAGCCTCTCTCAGTGGTGACTGAGGACAAGGTGGTGCGTGAGTAGAGCCTCTCTCATCGGCACGGGCTACATTGAGGCAGTAATCACTTAGTGGAGTAGTTGTGCTTGTACACTCACTCCTCCTACCTGTACATTCTGATGTGAACACTGTATATTTGCTGTATATACTATCATTGCTATACACCTTGTTCTGAAGCGCTTATGGGAATAGCTCACCTTAGTGCACCATAGCAGCTGAAACTCAGAACCAATGACAGCAGCATGCTATCACTTGCTGACTTCCCCACCGTGCACTGCAGGAACTGTCGAAGCAGCCAGCACTACTTAAGGTTGGAGAGTGAAAGTAGACTTTGCTATGGCAGCTGGTACAGCAAGTGGGTGTGTAAGTGGGTGCGCTAGAGCAGGTCGAAGAAGTAGTCGAGGCCCTGCCCGATCTCCCATACGGACAGCCCCGCACCCCACGCACTGGCCTCGCGCATGCGCAGCGCCAGCGAGAGCAGCGAGGGGAAGAAGGCGGCGCGGCGGATGCCCGAGGGGCGTGCGGCGAAGGAGACGGCGTGCTCGCGCGCGTCTGGATCCCACGATACTTGCGGCTGGTAGCGCTGCAGCACCTCCACCACGTCCCTGCCCAGTAGTGGGCGGTAGTCTGGTGCGGTAAGAGAGGAGGGAGAGGGGGAGGAAAGTGGGGGGGAGAGTGGGGGGGTAGAAAGGGGGAAAGAGGGGGGGGGGAAGGCATGGTGGGAGGTAGTGGAATGTGAACGCTGGAGAAGGTGTGGTAGCGTTGGAGCAACGAGGGGCAAGGAGGCCAGGAATCCAGCGGAACTGCATAACAGAAGGGCAAGGCAATCAATCCACAGTGTGGTGCAGGGCAGGGCGGTGGACTGACCTTGATTGGGCCCGTACTCATAGCCGTAGAAGTTGAGCCCCACCAACACCTTGCGTGCTATCTCCCTCACATCTCCTCCCACCCCACCCCCCTCCCCCTCCTCCTCCTCCTCCTCCTCCTCCTCCTCCTCCTCCTCATCCCCCACAAAGCTCCTCAGCTCGCGGCCTCGCCGTAGCTCCTCCCGCCACTCCTCCTCGCCCACCCCCATGTCCTCGCCATACGCGCCTGCGTACCGCGGCGTAACCCCCGGCAGCAGCGCCTGCAGGCACAGCCGCACCCACGGCAGCGGCGCGGTGGGGCCCGGGTGGGAGGGCGGGGAGAAGTCGTAGGTCATGAGGGAGAAGCCGTCCACGTGCGCATGCAGCGCTGCCAGATCCCCCGCCGTGAACGCGTGCGGAGGGAGGTTGCGCTGCTGCTCGGGGGGAAGGGCGGCGGCGGCGTTGGGGGGGATGACGAGGAAGAAGGAGAGGCGTGCGGTGGGGGAGGCGGGGTTGGGCGTGGCGTGTAGGGCGGCGCCGAGGCGGGAGAGGAAGGCGAGGGCGCGCGCACGCTTTGGGGGTGAGGCGAGCAGCCCTGTGGCCGTCCATGTGGACCATGCTTCCAGCACTATGCCGTCCAGATGGTGCTGCCTGCCAGGGGCATGGGGGAATCGGATAGACAGGGGGAAAAGGGGGAAGGGGGGAACGGGTGGACCGGGGGGTTGGCTTGGGACAAGAGGGCGCAAAAAGTGGGAGGGAGGAGGGGGGGAGGAACGAGGGGAATTAAAGGGCGGTGATAGGGAGAGGTGGCAGGAGTAGGAGAAAGGAGGGAAGATAAGTGTGTGAGGAAGAGCGAGTGCACGCAAGGAATGGCGTGCTGACCTGCAGGTGTCAAGGAATGGCGTGCTGACCTGCAGGTGGCAAGGAATGGCGTGCTGACCTGCAGGTGTCAAGGAATGGCGTGCTGACCTGCAGGTGGCAAGGATGAGGCGGATGGCCTCAGATGCGTCCTCATCAGAGCTGATGATGCCTGACGTGTCATGCGCCTCCAGCAGCACACGTGGCACCACCTGAGCGCCATCCTGGCGCACGGAGTCCATCCACGGCACGTCCACATCATGCCCGCCCGCCACCCGCAGCCACCCGCCCTCTCTGTGCGACCAGCGGTTGGCACATGGGGGTTGGGGCGAGAGTGGGGTGTGGAATGAGAGGAGGGTGGCACGCGATGGAAGGTGAAGCGAGGGAGAGAGGAGAAACAAGGGAATAAATAAACCACGAGCAAGTGGCGGTTTTTGGCATGGTGGCATTGGCACGGGGGTGTGGGTGCGTGCTGACCGTTTGAGTTGGAACCAGACGGGTGAGATGTGCGTCAACTTGTGGCGGAACTGCCGTGCCCTGTCGTAGCCTCCCCCGTTCCTGATGGGGGTGGGGCGCATGCCATGCACGCACAGCGCACAGCGCACGACAGGGAGTGGATGGCATTGACCCGCATTGCATGACGCTCCATGGGACATCCCTGCACGCCATGGCACAGCATGGCATGGCATGGCATGCGCCATCTCGTGGGTATGGCGGGCAACCATTGGCGACAGGGGTATTACAGGGAAATTTGCGACTGAACAGGGAGCGACTGATGTGGAACGGACCAGGGAGTGACGTAAGCGAGGACGGTGCCGTTGAAGTGGCGGTGCGTCGTGTCCTTCCAGTACCGCGCGTGCTCCTGTCCATCCACCGCGACGCATGCCACCGCGCAACGCAACACGCGCACGAGGGGGCACAGGCATGGGGGTGAGAGGCCAGCGGGAATGCGAGGCGAGGGTGGCAGAGCAGCAGAGGGAAACAGCGGGGCGAGACGGCGCAAGAAGCACTCGACCTTGAGAATGTCGCGATACGAGACGTCGGCGGTAACGAGGCGGCGCGCGAAGACGGACGACTCCACCGGCCCCTCGTCGCCAGGCGCGCTCGCCGCCGGCTGCTGCCGCCGCTTCACGCGCTTGCTGAGCGCGCCGACTGCCAGAACCGCGAGCGCTAGCAGCACGGCACGCGGCGCCAGCGCGCGACGAATGTGGCGAAAGGGAGCCATGGGTGGATGCCGCGAGTTGAAGAGCATGAGAGGAGGCAGGCTGTGGGATCTCTCGACGTGCGGAACGGCTTGGATTCGGCTTCTAGGAGAATCTCTTGCAGCTGATAAGGCGGGCTCGCTTTGTGTGGTACGCGTTGGGAAGCATTTCGTTTGATGACCAGGTCGTACGTTCGCGAATGTGCACAATTGAAATACGTTTGCATTATTCAGAGAAAGTAGATTCTCAAGGATATACTTGTTACACCTATTTCAAGAATTAACTAAAAGCGAGTCCAATAATATGCTAGAAAATAGAAAACCAATGCAGCCTAATAATAGCTACAGCAGCCTAAGCTTTCAAATCAATGCAGCGAGCAACAGATGAGGGAGGGAGCAACGCGGAATGGATGTTTCCACGTGAGCGGCACAAAGCCAGAGGATCCCACCGGGGCACAGCAACAAGGCGGGGAGAGGTGCTTTGAATTTGCAGCATGGCATGGCATGGCTTGCAGGGGAGAGCAGAGCGCCTAGTGTGCATGGGTGCACGCTAGTCCGTGCCTCCACTCATGCCCCCTCGCCCACCGCTGCCATTCTGCATCCCCACTCCACCATTGCTGCTGCCCATTCCCCCCATCATCCCGCCGCCCAGCGGCTTCCCATTGGACATGCCGCCCCCGCCGCCCAGCGCCTGGGAGAGCAGCAGCTGGCCGAGCAAATTGGCTTCGGGTGGCAGAGACTGCAGCCCCGCCACCTGCCCCAGCAGGTCCGTGGCCCCGGGGGCACCCGCGCCCTGCCCCATCAGCAGCCGACTCAACACCTGACTCAGTCCACCCTGCTGCTGCTGTTGTTGTTGCTGCTGCTGCTGCTGCTGCTGCTGCTGCTGCTGCTGCTGTTGCTGTTGCAGTGATTGTTGCTGCTGATGTTGCAACATTTGTGGTTGCTGCTGCTGCTGCTGCCGTTGCTGTTGCTGCTGTTGCTGTTGCTGCAGCGGGGGCGGCTGTCCCCCACCCCCCACGAGCTGCACCAGCTCCAGCAGCGAAGCACCGCTGAGCTCGCCCAGCGTGTTGGGCGCCTGGCCCTGCAGTGCGTGCTGCAGCGCCAGCTGGTTGCGAAGCGTCGCGTTGAACTGCTCCAGCAGCCCCTGCCCGCCCTGCCCCGCCTGCCCCGCTCCCTGATGCGTCTCCCCCATGCGCTGATGCTGCTGCTGCTGACTCTGTAACGGGAGTGATAGCAGCGAGGACGGCTGCTGGGTCTGCTGAATGCTGCCGGGTGTGCCCTGCCCTCCGCCCATGGGCATCAGAGCGTTTCCCCCGGCCCCCAACAGGTGCCCCAGTCCGCGCTGCTCCTGCAGGCTCCCCGCGCCCAATCCTCCCCCGACGCCCGCGCCGCCTCTGCCACCGACGGTGGCGTCGTTCTGGCCGTGCCTCACGCCGCTTTCCACGGCGGGCGGCGAGAACGTCCCCAACTGGTCCTTGCTGCTGCTGCCGCCGTCGCCGCCCCTTCCGCCGTCCCCCGCTCCGCCATGCATCGCCTGCGGCTGACTGGGTGGCGGCGCCTGCGGCTGCGCGCCCTGGCGCTTGCGCTTCTTCTTCTCGTACGACATGCCGCGCGCCTTGCCCTGCTGCTCGCGCGTGTCGCGCAGGTACACGCGCACGATGCGCGCGGCGAAGGGGTTGTTCTCGGGCTTGCCGCCGTTCTCCTCGTAGGCGGCGCGCAGGCGGCCGATGAGCGAGTCGAGGCTGCCCCACGCCTGCTTCATGGGGCACGCGCATGGGTGCGGGCCGCTCAGCCCGTAGAAGTGGCAGGCGTCGGCGTGCACCTTGGTTTTGCCGAACTGGTCGAGGTAGCGCAGGAACTCCACCACGTGCTGCGGACTGCACCGCGACATCGCCACGGGCGGCCGGTGGTTCTTCAAGTACTGCCCGAACGTGTTCCAGTCGCGCCGCTTCTGTGACTCGTACCGGCTCGACCCCACGCGCCCCCCGCTCCGCATGCCCACCGGCCGGCCCGCGCCGTCCATTCCCATGCCGTCGTCCGCGCCGTCATCGCCGCCCTGCTCCTGCTCGTCGCGCCCGCTTCCCCCGCCCTGCTCCCCATCGCTGCCGTCGCTGCGCGCCCCCATCCCAGCGCTTCCCGCGCCGCCTGCGCCGTTCTCCGCCTTCGGCGTGACAACGCCCGTTGCTTGGTTCGCTTGGCCAGCGCCGCCGTCAGTCGCGTTGCCGGTGGAGGCCATGAGTGGCGGGCTGCGCGCGGGGGCGGTCGGAACGAGCGAGAACGAGTCGACATTGCGCCGCTCCTCCGCCGTCGCTCCGCCGCCGGGCCCCTTCCCCGAGCCCACGCCCAGCGGCCCCGGGGGGGGCGCTCCGACGAGATTGGGCATGGCGGCGGACGCGGTGGTGCCGAGGAGCGACGCGACAGACGCCGCCGACAGCTGCAGCGACCTCTGCTGCTGCTGCTGCTGCTGAAGCTGTTGCTGATACTGCGGCTGCTGGTACTGTTGTTGTTGTTGCTGCTGCTGCTGCTGCTGCTGTTGCTGCTGCTGCGGCGTGTTAAGAGGCGGCAGGTTACCAGCGGGCTGCGGTTGAAAGGCGGCGTGGCCGACCATCATGCTGAGCGACGCGTCGCCGGCGGCGCCGCCCAGCGAGCCCATGAGGTCGGAGGACGCCATGAGCCCCGATGACCCCATGCCGAAGTTGAGCAGCGGAAGGGCCGACCGCGCACCATCGCCTCCGCCCGACCCACCGGTCTCCGACTGGCCGCGGAAGTCCATCGGCGCACCGACGGAAGTCGCGGGGAAAAGGCTGGGGGTGAAACCCCCGGGGGAAGCGGAAATGCCGCCGCCAAGTGCGGTGGGTGCAAGCGGTGCGACTTCCGACGAGCGGAAATTCGACGACGCTGGAAGCGCGAGAGTCGCCAGATCTGCTACAAGGGGAGTCCCCCGCCGAAAAGCGTTACGCCGTCGCGATGACACACGATAATATCTCGAACACGGCGAAACGCTGAAGTGTGTAACCTGAAAGGCAGGAGACAGTAATGAAGCTACCAAAGAAAATCAGAAATAATACCACACAGAATAATATTAATCTACAAGAAACAGCGCAGCTGGCGCTTACCGGTCAAGTGAAACTCAACGAGGCGTGTGGAAGGAACACGAGCAACTGCTGCTGCTGCTGTCGGATCTGAGCTTTTGCTGGGAGCTACACTGATGAACAGAAAAGGGGGGTTTGGTTGGTCATGGACGAAGAGACGAGCGTGGAGCAGGTATTTGCAGGGTGTGGGTGGGATAAGTTTGTCGCCGTGTTGCTCGGTTGGGCTCAAATGTAGTGTTGCTTGGAAGTGTGTGAAGCGCAGCTGAACAGAAGATGCCCACAAATAGGAAAAGAAACAGGCTGAATGGCGCCGCACAAGGAAGCACAGTAGCTCACTGCACGCAACCCCTCAACCCCAGCAGTTGACGGGGAGCTGGGAGTTGGTTGGGTTGGGAGGGGAGGGACGGGCAGGGGGAGGCTTGCTTGCTGTAGTGGGGCACAGTGTAGAGGATGCAAACCCCCGCCACCCCGCTTGCTCAGCTCCGCGCGGAATCCCAAGTGGGAGGTGCGGGTGCTGCGAGGAAAGGTCGTTGCGCAGGGTACAGAATGGGGTGAAGGCATGGGCTCTCTCAATTTATGGTTTTGCATGCCCCTTGAATGTCAAGAGAATACTGGTTGCAGTAAATAACATAAAACATTACAGAAGTGGGCTGGAAGAGACCGCCTGAAGGCCTAAAAAATGAAAGTACACCACAAAGAAGACTTGAATCTTCTTAAAACCCGAAACCTGAATTACAAAAAAAGAGGGCAAACTGTGCACAGTTTGCATGCCGCGCCCCAGAGTTCTGCCTGCAGTTGACTTCAGTTGAACAATTCAAGTCTTAGGCTTTAAGAGGGGGTGGAAATTTCCATTGCTTGAAACCTCACAGCAAGAGACCTCCAGACATGGTGGAATAGTGTGAATCGGCAGTGGAGATTGTGTACACTTGGGGTGACTGGCGATTGGTTTTTGCACTGTGCGGTGGACGGGTGGCTATGAGCGAGGACGACTCCAAAAGGATAAACTCGGTGAGGTGACTCGGTGCGGAAGCAAAAACTCAAGGTGTTGGGATGAGGCTCCTGCGAGCAAGGCACGCACAGTTCCCACTGTAGAAGGCTCCCTCACAAGTGCAAGTTGAGTTGAGGGTCTAACACAGCACACACCCTAACGCAACACTTAGCCCTACGCAAAAATCAGACGCCACCAAAACAGCAGCAGCAACCAATCAACAGCTCTAACACTTCCACTGTATTCTGTACAGCACGATGAATCTGTATTATCTGACTCCCTTCAGTTTGGAGGCAGCAAAATCTTTACGCCAGGAGCGACTGCTGTGTGATTTGCTGACCGGCTCCATTGATTGGCCAAGCCTGCAAGTAACCGTGGACGCACCAACTATTCGTCCTGACAAGACCGCAACCAGAGCACAGTGGAAACCGCGTTGCTCACAGCTCAGAGACGCGTTTCACGATTATGCTCATCAATGCAGATTGATGTGAGACCTAGAAAGATCCCGGCTATTGGCAGCATAATGTTTTGGAATTGCGACGGGGATGAACAATCACAAATTTCCTCAGGGAGTGTCCGAAGTGAAACGTCGACATCCGTTGCCATCCGTTTGGGGATGTCAGTCAATCCTGACGGTTGGAACTGTCAATCCGAGGGATGAAATTTACCGATATCCAGCGACATCCATCGACGTTTCACTTCGGACACGCCAGCAGCACAAAGCGTGACAAGTGCCCGCTTAAGAACGCTTAAATTTGTTTTTGTAACCAAACAGTGCTGCTTTGAATCTGAACAATACAGCGAGGTACGACTGGACAGAAATAATGGATTGCGGCTTAAGTGTACAGTAACAAAACTACAGTCCACTGACCACATTGTGGGAGCAGCTCCTTCTACTGTTGCCCAGAGCTCGCGCAATCATTACGTTTTTGCCAGGTGTCCATCATCTTCCCACTTTCAGCTCATCCTCGGCAAAACGACAACCTTCTAGTATCATGCAGGTTCATCCCTTCCTCGAACGAAATTACATGAGAAACTTCTTACTTCAAAGGAGTCATGCATTTTTGTTCCGCTGTGAAATTCCGTAAAATCACATCTTAACGGCGCTCTCAATACTAGCTATACCACAACTCATTTATGTGGAATAATATGTGCACATATAGGATCATGTCTTTATCAATGGAGGAAAAAATACATTCCTGAGTGGATGTAGGTTGGGGGGAAGAGGGAGAAGGGTTTGGGGTTGGATAATGAAAAAAAAAAAAAACAACAACAACAACAACAACAAAAAACAACAACAACAACAACAACAACAACAACAACAACAACAACAACAACAACAACAACAACAACAACAACAACAACAACAACAACAACAACAACAACAACAACAACAACAACAACAACAACAACAACAACAACAACAACAACAACAACAACAACAACAACAACAACAACAACAACAACAACAACAACAACAACAACAACAACAACAACAACAACAACAACCACAACAACAACAACAACAACAACAACAACAACAACAACAACAACAACAACAACAACAACAACAACAACAACAACAACAACAACAACAACAACAACAACAACAACAACAACAACAACAACAACAACAACAACAACAACAACAACAACAACAACAACAACAACAACAACGACAACAGCTACGCATTCTAAAATATATGTATTTGGTGGACGCTCGGGAATGAGGTGCTTGCGTTGTCACTACCGTATGTATACAATTTCGACTTGCCAATATTATATAGTCCACCTGTTATGGTGTTCTCAACGCTTTTGCCATTTCTTTTATTAACCTGCTGCGACCAGAAATAAATCGTAACCAGGATCACCTCATGAAGGTTCGCACGCTTCTAGTCTAGTAATGGTGTGTCCTTGACCTCAATAGCCGAGTGAATGTAAAATGCTTGAGATGATTAAAACATGCAAATACAACGATATAAATAAGAGTACAGCAGAATACGAATCGACCTGGCTAGCCATGTACTATAAGGGTACATTCTCTTATTCAAATTCATTCCCAACCGTGCGGCGCGTACAGTGTCGAAAGATTAACGGGAGTGTGAGTTAAATTGAAGACTAGGGCCTAGGCTTAGGAGCCTAGGCCCGAACTTAGGTGTCGAGCGGGATGTCACCTAGGGTGAGTATCGAGTGAGTTGAAGAGAAGTTGGGAGAATGTGTGCTTCACCATAGGGTTCGAAGTACATATAGCAAAGGAAACACATAAGGTGCACCACCACACAAAGTTTAAATAACTACACTAACTACAGCTACAGGTAGTTACAAATATAAGTTGACACTCCCCCATAACTGCCTGCAGCAGGAATATGTGCAGAATGCAACCTGCAGATGTACACATGCAAAATAATAAAAAGCAAGCAACAGCAGGTAATGCAGGCGGGCTAACATTGAATAGTTACCCCCTCCATCTCCTCACCCTCCTCCTTCCCCTCCCCCACACTGCTGTAGGAGCAGCAGAGAAGGGGGGGAGAGAGGAGAGGTGGAGGGACGGCTGCATGTTGCCTCACACCCGCCACCCCGGTACCACTCCCCCTGCTCCCCCACATCCTCACACCCTCCCCCCCCAGCGGCAGCTGCAGCGGTGGGACTGAAAGAAGGAGGAGGGGAAGGGAGAGAGTTGACCCAACACTCCAACACCCGCCACCCCCATACCCTCCTCCCCACGGCTACAGGGAGACAAAGGAGGAAGGGGGTGGGCGGGAAGAAAGCCGCAGCGCGGCTAAACGGTGTCGGCGCAGATGGATCAGGGGCGGCTTCAGGGAGAGCAGGGGCGGAAAGGCCCGTCGCGTGCCAGTGCCACGGGGCGCACGACGGGTAGGATAAGAGAAAGGGCCCGATCGTGTGCCTCGGGGCGCACGACGAGCAGGGCACCATCGTGTGCCACGGGGCGCACGATGGGCAGGTTAAGGGCACCGTCGCGTCCCACGGGGCGCGCGACGGGCAGAAAAGGCGTCACACGCCAACCGAGGGCGGGACAAGGAAAAATCGTCACGCGCCCTAGGCGCGCGACCGGAAAATCTTAGCAGCGGAAGTGTAGGGCGGGCCCACAGGCCAGGACGTAACTCGCTCAGATAACATGTCGAAAGATTAACGGGAGTGTGAGTTAAATTGAAGACTAGGGCCTAGGCTTAGGAGCCTAGGCCCGAACTTAGGTGTCGAGCGGGATGTCACCTAGGGTGAGTATCGAGTGAGTTGAAGAGAAGTTGGGAGAATGTGTGCTTCACTATAGGGTTCGAAGTACATATAGCAAAGGAAATACATAAGGTGCACCACCACACAAAGTTTAAATAACTACACTAACTACAGCTACAGGCAGTTACAAATATAAGTTGACATACAGTTACGAAAACTGTTCCCGCCAGAATCCTTCTGCCTGCAGCTGCCCGATGCCATCTGCTTCGACGGTCCAGATGCATCTCAAATGTCTGACGCAGGCCCTCAGATATCAGCGTAAAACACGCTGATTAGGCTGATTTTGTACCTGTGATTTTCGTTTTCCCTGAAATTTCAGTATATCCTTTATGTTTGCACTGATTTTTCAGTTTAGCGTATAGGACTACCCTGACGAATTAGTGTATAGGTGTACCAGTTACACCGAAGCATCAGTATAATGTACCGAGTCACACTGATTCG